TATGTGTGTGTGTGTGTATGTATGTGTGTGTCTTCTCATCCCACCCAGGGACCAGAGATGTCAGCTGCTTAGGAACGGAGCGAGCCAGGGGCATGCAGGGGGATGTTGATGCCGCACCCTAATGTGTGTGTATTTGTGTGTGAGGGTGGGGTGAAGAGACAGCTGAGATTCTAGATTGCACCCAGAAAAAGACTGGAATTAGAAGCATCCTCTGATACACACATACACACCTATCATCATCCCATAGAGAGACTCTAAATACAAACACAGATTCCACAGTAGCACATATGTGCACTGTATGCATTGTCATACTTGTGCTGTCTCCAAAACCACTCCCTTTACAGCAGATACTCCGTAGCATTCTATATTAGTGGCTAACGTATCATCTTCATCTGCAAAATGCGACACACTGCATTATGGGATTGTGTGTACATAAGATGGACTCAACCTCAATCAGTGCATTGTGGGTGTTTCGAGGGCAGTGCACAAGGTTCAGACTCTTTAGACACACGCTTAAAATAGCTGACATGAAATAAAGCACATTTCATAGTGAACAGGAAGTGATTTTTTTTCACACACAACTCAATACATCGCTCTACACAGTCCACATAATGGATGGCGTTCTACTTTATGATAACCGTGACACTAGGCATATTTTTACGATTAAGCCTATTTATTTTCTATTTTCGAGCGTTATTATATATGCTATTTAAAAAAAAAAAGTGGTATTTTGGTATGAATACTGAAGGCATAAAAACAAAAGATGACACTTTTTTGTATTAAAGGTCCCATGTCATGGCCATTTCTACTGATCATGATTCCATTGTTGAGGTCTACTAGAATAGATTTATATTGTGCAATGTTCCAAACTCACATTGGTTTCTCATACAGCGTCTCTGTATAGTATGTGTATTCACTCTCTGTCCTAAACGGCTTGTTGGAGCTCCTGCCCCCCCCCTCCCTGTGAGCCCAGTGTGCTGTGATTGGTCAGCTCGCCCACTCTGTTCTGATGAGTCTACCACCGTTACAGCGGAACATCAGTGATTACGTGTTACAATGGCGTTAGCAACCAGAACATGACACCAGTAAGGACAAACAGATGAGAATGCTGTGTGGGCTCTGGGTGCCGTGTTGGCGGGACGTTGCGCGGCTCGCTGCTGTGAGTGACAGTGTGAGCTGGGTTCATTTCCTGCTTGCTGCGTGGGGTCTGCGAGACAGCGAGACATCGCGAATGGACGCGGGAAGCGGGGGGTGCTGAGGGGGCTGCAGCACCCCCATCTGCGAGGCTCTACTAGCTACATAACACACAAGGGGACGGGTAATAACCGGAAAAGCATGACATGGGAGAAGAAATGTAATTAAAGAATAAGTATAGACCAATTATTTCAAGCCAGCTTTCAAATCTTGACACTAAAAACACATTTCTGTTGGTACTAAAAAAAGTATTGAGGTTTTTTTATTTTAGTTTTGTATTATAAGCTAGTGCTAATTTCTGTAAGGAATGCTAATAAAGACGAAGTAGACAGCGGAAGTCTGCTCGTTCACTCTCTCATTGAAACAGTATTTCTCTGTGAGATCACCGTTGGGAAGTTTAACAATAATCTGACGACATCACCTCCCACGACCCCTCTTCCCATAGCGACCCCCCCACCACACACACACACACCACACACACACACACACACACACACACACACACACACACACACACACACACACACACACACACACACACACACACACACACACACACACACACACACACACACACACACACACACCACACACACACACACACACACACACACACACACACACACACACACACACACACACACACACACACACACACACACACACACACACACACACACACACACACACACACACACACACACACACACACACACACACACACACACACACACACACACACACACACTCCCCTGAGCCCTCTCAGTATTTCTAAGCATCGGCATGACATCACCCCTTTGGATTGGGGTCTGGTGGGGGAGGGCAGAGGGGGGGCCTGCTCTGTTTGGGAGCCAGACAGACATGTTTAGGTTTGAAATGAGCCGAGCTGGATCAGTTACAGAGAGAAACAGAGGGGGGTAGAAAGTATAAGGAGAAAAGAAATAAAGAGGTATTTTCTGCGTCCATCCCTCACTCTGGGAAGCTAACAAACAGAACAGACACATTAGAGTCCAAGGAGGGTCAGAAAGAGGACACTGTGCTCTCTATCCCATAATTTCCTTATCTGTTTCCATGCATCTGTATGCCTGCCTCGTGATCCTGCTCTGCATGACCACAATATGTCCCCTGTATCATCCTTTCGTTGTCCTCCTATAAATACCCCGTTTTCCCCCAGATAGAGTGGCAGACCATTTCCCATGCTCTATATCCCCCTCAGACAGCAGCTATTAAACATTCTGCACCCAGTCTGCCACCGGTCTGTCTGCTGCTCTGTGAGCTCAAAGTTCACAGTTTTAACGAAGAATTCTTAATCAGAGAATCAAAATGATGAACACCTACATTTTATCTCATTATATTTGGTCTTAGTAATGCCTGGAAGTACTATAACTTTCTTTTTTTATATAAAACAGGCAAATACCTGCACAAATTAGAAGACATTTTAATTTTTTTTGCAAAAAAGTAGTCCTGCAACTCACAATTATCTTCATGAACAACTGACATGCTGTTTTAAAAAAATATATATGAATCGTTTATTGTTCTATTTTGGTCTTTAAAATGTCAGAAAACAGGGAGAAATATTCATCCCACTTTCTCAAAAGACAAGCGGAAGTCTGTAAATGTATTTTTTAAGTCAAAAACAAAAATATATTTACTTATATATATATATTATAAAACAGATAAAAGCAGGAAATCTTATAATTTTCCAGGATGAAAACAGCATTTTTCTGCTATTTTTGAATACAAAATGTGTTAAAAGCGATTTTTGTCATTCTACTCACTTAGTTAACTTAACTGTGTAGCTCTATGAAATATTATAAATTAAATAACTTGAAGCTGAATTCACAAATATAAAAGATTAAACATAATGTAATTTGACCACTTCTGAGCAAACATCAACTGTCTTTTTAAATCATGGTGTTGACTGAAATATTTCATAAAACAGATTGTCAGTGCACCTGTAAGCCTGCACGGCCAAATGATGACGAAAACAGCTTCATGCTCTTTGTCTGATCTGGCTCTCATTTGCAGCCTATTTAGCTCTTAATATCTATATCTCTCTCTCTCTCTCTCTCTCTCTCTCTGATAACACCTCTCTCTCTCTCCATTTCTTAACACCTCTTTATCTCCTCTGTCTGTTTGTTCTCTGCCACACATTTACTCAGCATGCAGCGAGGGCGGAGGAGGACGAGAGACCCAGAAACAGAGAGAAGGGATGAAGAAGAGGTAATTACTTAAAGGAAAGAGATGTTTTATTAAATACCCAAATTAAAAGAAGATAAAGGAGAGAGAGAGTAGGAATGTTAAAGCAGGAAGTGTGTATGAAAAGAATCATGAAAAAAAATAATCTTTGATCCGCCCACACGTTATTAACAGTGGAGTCGATAATTCTCAGAAGAACGAGCAGGAGTCCTACTACATTTTCCAAACGTATGAAAATGATTAATGCTCAAAACACTAGAATCATTAAGAAAACACACACACACAGCCCTCTGCTGGGATTTGGTGCATACTTCTCCTGAGCCCTCACACACTTAAATACTTTCTAAAGTGGACAGGATATGACATCATGGCGAGAAAATGTGCCGTTTAATGACAGAAGTGAGACTGAAAGAGCCGTGTGCAGCCATGAAGAGAGCAGCGGAGGAGTGATAAAATACCAGGCACATTCCTGAGGTCAGCCCCGATGCTAAGGAAACAATCAACTACTACTGAATGTATTTATGCCTGCTCTTTTTCTCTAAATACACACAGGTATTAAACAAATCAACATGAGTGAGTACCTTCACTTTCAGCATAGTAGATATTAATGTGTTTTTTTCTTATTTAAAGAGAGGATAACTCTATATCCTATATTAAAATGAATGATCCTCACATCTTAAAACCTTTTTCATTTTGTATCTACATTCTCTTGCTTAATATAAATGCAAAAATCTATTTTTGTCACATCTTTGAGTAATTTCATTTTGGCAATGCAAATAATTATACGTCATAAAAAATAATCACCAACTATTTTGATAATCAAGGAATCAAGTCATTGTTTAACTGTTTGCAGATTGATCAAAGAAACATAATGGTATTGTTTAGAGAACCACATGTTAATTGCTAGAAAGAAAAGAGACGTCTGATTTGCAAGGTTATTAAATTGTTACTGTACTTTACCATGATGACGCTAACAAGTTCAAAGCATAAGCAGGGCGGTGACTATACATCATAAAGAATGTATAAGAAAGAGAGAAAGCAAAAGCTGAGTGTTGGTGGATTGTGGGAAATGTAAAGAGAAGCATCATATGTGTCCTCTAGAGAAAGAGCCGCGTGATTCAGCAGCGTGCCAGGCCTTTCAGAGAGATGTGTGACTCAAATTCACCATCTAACTCCTGACAAACCACGGGAGTCCTTAACACACTTACACACACGCACACCAACACACCCCATTACCTCATGGTCTCCAGAGGTCTGAACAAGAGGAAAGGATGGGCACAGACCTCCTCAGAGGCTCCACAGAGATTAAATGTCCTTATTCATAACGCACACACAGAGCTGTGTCCTAAACCTGAGCTCATGTTCCGCCGAAGGTTTTCGGTTTATCCGTGCAAATGAGTTTCAGTGGTATGATGGGAAAGGAACAGACTGAACACAACTTTTTCTCCCAGAATTCAGTCAGAGTATCTCATGTTACCAGCTACACAATGAAGCTGATAATAGGACAAATACACATGTACTCATACACACTGACATAATCCACTTTACCCACGTATCCATACATGATTCATCCGCGTAGATAACCAGCAAGAAGTAGTCCCGCCTACCTTGAACTCCTGCAGCTGCTGTTTGATCATCTCCACCTCCGTGCCGACCATGCCCTGTGAGTTCAGCCCATTTTCAGCCCTTCCCAGCATGCCTTGCAGCTCGGCCACCAGCCTGTAGAATTCCCGAACCTTCTCTGCAGCGTCGTCGATCTGATCCAGCCGGCCTTGGCCACGCTCGCTGAGCTGGAGGATAAGGAGCAAAAGATTAATGAACTGTGACCGAATTTTACATCATATTTAAAAAATCGACACAGCATTGAATTGCGGTATTTTGTGTTGCGATCCATAATTTAATCCACTGAATGCTGAGATTTCTTCTGATGAGAAATTAAAAAATAACAGACCAAAATAACATTAAAAATAAATGTACTATAATTTCTTATTTGCATTAGCGTTAACATTTATTTATTTTTGCATTTGTTTGTATTTCATGTATAAAATGTATCTATATATATTTTTTGTCCTTTTGCATTTCGCCCCCTATATATGTTCATATTTACTTTATTACCTTCTTTATGCATTTCTTTTTACATTTCCTTTTACATTTCTTTATGCATTATTGTCTGCCTGCTGCTGCCTCAGATCTTTTGGTTTTACATTCTCCAAAAAGGGTAAGAAGTGGAAATATGTTATTGCAATATGTTTAAAATTGCATATTGTATTGTGACTTAAGTATGGTGATGATGCCGTAAGGGTGAGACCCATCCCTAATTCATGTTGTCAATAACTGTGCCATGATCATCATCATGGTTATTATAATGATCATCCTCCTCTCTCACCTTGCCGGCCTGGCGGCTGAGAGCCTCCGTCTCCCTCCTGAGAGCCAGGAGGTCGGGGGAGGAGCCCTCCCGGCGCAGCATGGTGGTGCAGTCTGTGTTGTGACCCTCCAGCTCCGCCCTCAGGTCGCCCAGACGGGACAGGTAGCCCTTCAGGGCGTCGGCCTGAGAGGCCAGGGAGTCTGCGTCGCGTCCAACCGGTCCGAGGGAGTCCAGCTCATCATCCAGGTCGGCAATGCGAGAGAAGACGTCGCGCACGTGAGACTGGACCTCACCCACGCCCTGCAGTCGGGACTCCAGGGAGGAGCAGCACTGCTCGATCTGATGGAGTAGAAGAGGAGAGATGTTACAGAGGAGACGGCGCAGAAGGTGTTAGGAGCAATCCAGTCAAAACTTGTATTTCATTATCAAGTGCATCCCAATTAAAAATACTAAATTAAGTGCCTTGCAGCCGAAAGATTAAAAAAAAAGCACAAAAAGAGAAGGCGGTGGCGGGGTAAATATTTGTTGTCATTGTTGAATAAAAGCACAGAACAACGCTTTAAAAAAAGCTACCATACAATTCCGTCTGAAAAATGCTAATGACCTGGAAGACATTATTCAACATCTGAAATCCTCCTCCTGTAGCCTCGATATTATTCCGACAGGCTTTTTCCAAACTGTTTTTCACTGCATGGCCTCAGATATACTGCACATAGTAAACAAGTCTCTTCAAACAGGTGTATTTCCGCAGGCCCTGAAAACTGCAGTAATTAAACCGCTCCTAAAAAAGCATAACTTAGACACAACCGTAATGAATAATTACAGGCCAATATCAAACCTTCCTTTTTTAAGCAAATTGATTGAAAAAGTTGTTTTTCAACAGTTCAGTCATTTCATGTTTTTAAATGACGGTTTTGATGTGTTTCAGTCTGGCTTTCGACCTAACCACAGCACTGAAACTGCACTTGTAAAGGTCTTAAATGACATTCATTTAAACACAGACAGTGGCAGAATATCAGTTTTAGTATTATTAGATCTCAGCGCTGCATTTGACACTGTTGACCACAACATATTGCTAGACCGTCTAGAACTGGGTGGGAGTTTCAGGAACAGCTCTAAATTGGTTTAGTACCTACTTAAAGGACAGAAAAAACGTTGTCTCAATAGGCAACTACACATCAACTTTGACAAATATGTCATGCGGTGTTCCTCAAGGCTCCATCTTAGGACCTTTGCTTTTTAATATTTATATGCTACCTCTGGCTGAAATTATTAAAAAGAGCGATCTAAGCTATCACATCTATGCAGACGACACCCAGATTTATTTTAAAATCACACCAGGAGACTATTCTCCAATTAGAACACTGAGCAAGTGCATTGAGCACATCACTGACTGGATGACTCAGAACTTTCTCCAACTGAACAAACAAAAAACTGAGATCTTTGTTTTTGGAGCAAAGAAGGACCGATTAAAAGTAAATCACAGAGCTTCAGTCGGCAGACTACAAAGCCACTAATAAAGCCAGAAATCTGGGTGTAGTGATGGACTCAGACCTGAATTTCAACAGCCACATTACAACAGTCATTAGGTCTGCATACTATTACCTGAATAATATATCGAGGATTAATTAAGGACTAATGTTACAACAGGACTTAGAAAAGCTTGTCCATGCTTTTATTTTCAGTAGACTCGACTACTGCAATAGTGTATTCACAGGGCTGACAAAAAAATCCATCAGAAAGCTGCAGCTGATTCAGAATGCTGCTGCACATGTCCTCACTAACACTAAAAGAGTGGATCACATCAGTCCGGTTCTGAAATCTTTACATTGGCTTCCAGTCGGCCAAAGAATTGATTTTAAAGTACTATTGCTAGTTTTTAAATCATTACATGGTTTAGGACCAAAGTATATTGTTGAACTCCTACACAATTACGAGCCATCAAGGTGTCTCAGGTCTTCTGGGACGGGTCTGCTATCGGTTCCGAGAGTAACAACAAAACATGGAGAGGCAGCATTTAGCTATTATGCCCCGACACTCTGGAACAAACTACCCAAATCATGCACGTCCGCAGAAACGCTTACCATTTTTAAATCGAGACTAAAAACATATCTCTTTGCCGCTGCTTTTAATTGAGCTGCTCATATTCGAACTACAGTATGCCTTTTAAATATGTATTGTACCTGTGGTGTTTATTTTTATTATTTTATTATCTTTGCTTTGTAATGCCTGTTGTAAAATGCCATTATATAATGTGTTTTTACTGTATTTATTCATAACAAGTCTTTTAATTTGTTTTGTAAAGCACTTTGAATTGTCGCGTACAGAAAAGTGCTATATAAATAAACTTGCCTTGCCTTGCCTTGCCTTGCCAAATCTGTTGTCATTCATTTATTTTTCAGGGCATTTTCTTGCGAATTATCATAAAAGTTCGGTGGCCGATGAGTGCAAACGCGCTACAACAGCACAAAACATTTGCATTAGGAGTAACGCGCTTCGCTGCGTTGGTGAGTGTTTTCTAAATGCTGCGCATGTGTTGTCAAGTTGGTGAAGATGTTTCTTAATTTTCACGTGTTTTGGCACATTTGTGTTTTTGCATTTGCATTGTTTTTTAAACTGTAGCGCATTTCTGCTACTGGAAATGTTTTGGGCTGTTGTAGCTTGTTTGCACCTTGCGGCCCCATACAAAAGTCACAACTAAGCAACCCTTAAATGAACTCTAAATAGAGGACGGTGATGTGATCCCCTAATAAAACCCAGGAGCATGTGTGGTTATATTTTACTAGGTACTAGCACAATAAAGTGTGACCAATCCAGAAATGATGTAACATAACAGCATGTACAAATAGATGTTGTCTGGGTGATACAAGGAGACAGTAGCAGCATTATCTGAGTGATCTGATCTCCAGAAACTTTTCTCTCAATAACAATGACATCAGATCAATAATATAAAAAGAGAAGTAAGACATCTGAATAACAGAGGACTGCTGCTGTGGTGTTATAAACAGTAAAAGGTTCCTGTGATAGCTCTACCCTTACATGGAAGCTGGAATGCATCAAATAAGTAATAAGCATTCTTACTTAGTGCTGCATTCTCCTGTTTACATTTCACCCTGATTAAGTGCTAAATGTCCACAGTGACCATATATGACTACTGTGGGTCAAATAGTCAAACTATTCTGACAGCTCTGGTTGTTTGCTCTCTCTCAGCGCACTGACACTGAGCAAAAACACACATACATCGGCACATATACACACACGCTGTGACCCTCGCTATACATAGTTAGCCTCTTTTTCACTTATAACGGCTTTATGTGCAAAATGTTACATCAATTCATTACTTTTAGGATTCCACAGCTCTTATGTTCTGCTGTGTTTCCACAGCTACCTGCAGATTCAGCATTGTTTTAATATATGGCTCTAGAATATTTTGGACATACACTAGCTTTTTGTTGGCAATCCAAATCAGGTTCAGGAGGAGTAAAGTGTAAAGAGAAACAGTATGCTACAAAAACACAACTCCCCCTGAATCTCATCAGTGCACTGTATCAGAAATTGTACTGTATATCCATAAACTCAAACATAAACGTGCCCGGAAAATGTGTCATCTATTTATTTAGTCTTAGTTATGTGTCAAATGTTTTTATAATCACATTAAGCAACCTGATCAAGTTTTAGTTGACAGCACTGCATATTGATATAATGAGCGTTAGTGTTCAGAAGTTGGTGTTATCATATAATTGTTCTGTCTTAGGCATAGCTTTCATTAAGAGAGAAATGTTGAGGCATGTTTGATGTCCTTCTGTGCAATGATCATTATCCAAACCTGGAGCATTTACAACAAAGAAAACCAATAATATTTCCTTCTCTTTTCCTGACTCTGCTCCTCACCTTGTCAGTGACGTCTTCATACTCCTTCTCCGTGCCCCTGGCCTGCTCCTGGAGCCTCTTGGCACCCTCGGTGCTGCCCCCCGGTGTCTGCGGGGCGTCCTGCACCAGACCCTGGGCCAGGTCCCTGAGGTACACCACCTGAGGCTTCAGGGAGCGGAGACCCTCCTGCTGACTCCTCAGACGCTCCAGGCTCTTAGCACTGCACGCCTGGGGGGGGGGGGGGGGGGGGGGGGGAGAGAAGGAAACACAAAGCGCCAAAGCTTTTAATTATGTCTTCATAAAAACCATAGTAGTTAGGGATGCTCCGATCGCCAATTTTGGGGGCGATCGCCGATCGCCGGAATCAGTATCGGCCGATACCGATCGCCGATCCGATCGAGTGGGCGGGGCCTAAATGGAAGATTTAAACATCACTTTAAATCTTCCATTTAAAGTGATGTTTAAAACTCAGTTAATGGGGCTCATTCACTGGAGCTTCCAAACAACAATCAACTTAATTATTACATTCAAATGATGTACATTATTCAAGTTTACATTCACTTTGGATAATACCACGGGAGAAATGAGCGGAAGCGCTCTCTTTTCCTCTCCCCCTCTCTCTCTCTCCTGACAGCCTGTCAGTATCTCATGCAGCTCACTGATCCAGTAATGAGTGACCCGACAGTGAAGAATACATATATTTATAACTACTGTAGTTTAGCTTGTTCCAGAGGTAGATCAAATAGCTAAGTGTGTTAGGTCTAACTCTTACGGCCCCTACACACGGCGGCGTGCGGTGACTCTTCAACGCTTCTGCCCATTCACTTTGAATGGGGTGACGTCACGATTCGCCGAACTGCATTCTGGGAGCAAAGCGTAGCTTTCCTCGCGGTGCTCGCTGCAAAAGTAGAGAATGTTCTACTTTAGAAGCTGGCAGCCAATCAAATCCCGCGTATGCAAATCTGACAGTTCACCGCGTGTATGCTGGGAGAGCCAGACCGCAGTTCATTTCCTCATATGCCAAAAAATTTAGGAGAAAATAATCGTAGCGGTAGGGAATCACCCGGTGCTTTCAGTCCCTGTTCACCTACCGGGATACAAACCGGAGGAGCCAGGCATGGAGGGAGGTGGTAGAGACAGTGGGTGAAACTGCTAGGTTTTCGCCTGTTTGGGGAGTTTATATCCAGTGTACTTCGTTTGAATGGACAGCAGGCATAGACAGTATATTTAGCCACCATGCAATGTTGCATAAAATAGCACCATAGACATTAATTAAAAATCGCTTTTTAGACATTAATGTCTATGGTGAGATTCATACACGGGAGCCTTTTTAAAGCCTTTTTACCCCGCTGCAAACAGAACCCCCCCCCCCCCTTCCCATCACAAACTTTACACAGATCCCCCCTTCCAATTATCAACTCATGTCTTGTTTCCGCAAACTCTTGTGTCCTGCAGCAGCTAAACGTTTTGCAAGCCCCCGTTCGTTTAGTACCTAAAATAATAGACATCGCTTTTTCCAGCTGACAAACCCGACTTTCTGGTCACTTCTTCAATTTTCCAGCCCTTGGGGAGAGACACGGGAGATTCATGTGATTGGTTGTTGGTCGCGTTGCTCGCGTAAACTCCCCAAGCTCAAGACACGCCCACCGCCAAGCGGCAACGCACGCCGCCGTGTGTAGGCTGCGTTAGTGTGTGTTTTGCTCCGCTCACCGGTCCGTCACAGCAGGTGGAGCTGCAGGATTTCTGCTTCACTCACGTTGCATACCGCTATTTTACTGTCTTTTTCGGACACCTTAAAATACTGCCAGACCGGTGAAGCCATTTTGGCGAGCTTGTTTTGCCGCGCACAGAGAAAAGTGTCATGTATTTAACGTCATGTGATCGGCTCTTGCGATCGGCATGTTTAGAGAGCACCGATCGATCGGTAGAGAGTGAGTATCGGCCGATCTCGATCGGTGTCCGATCGATCGGAGCATCCCTAATAGTAGTCATATTCTATTTGGCACTTTTGTATAATACATATTTATATTGAGAGGAGTGCACAATCACCGCTACCCTCAATATGTAAACATCACATACAACAATAAAACATTTTATAATAATAACAAATGAATGCTATACTGTCAAAATAAGGAAATACAGGTCGAAAAAAATCAACTTAAATAGATAATACATATTTATTAAAAAAACATACTTGAAATTAAGTAAATATTGTATTCTTATATGTATATGAAGTTTAGGGTAACCAGTCATCAAAAGCCATATCATGTTGTCTGTCCCAGTTAAGTGTTTACCCTTTGGTATAGAGTAAAAGAGACTACTGAAGACAGTAGTTTTTTTCTACCTGTGGACCCAGAGCCTCCTGGACTTCAATTTGGTGCTTGGCGGCCTCCAGCCTCCTCTCCGCTGCCTGCCTGCCCTCCTCAAACTCCTTCAGACGTCCAGCCAGCTCCTCCAGCTGGGAGGAGCGCTGATGGAGCCTCTCCCCCAGTCCGTCCACCCTGCGGTTCAGCTGGGCCTTCTCATCTCGTACCTGCAGAACATGAGTTCATCAGTTTAGCTGTGACTTTTAAAGACCACAAATCAAAATAAGCTAACATACACCCAAATTCCTCAAGCTTAATAATAAAAAACACACTTGAGAGTAGAAACCAACGTAGAAGTACGTACCTCTTCGTCCCCGATGCAGCATTGCTCCAGCAGCTGATCTGCTGCTGTGTTGAAGGCCTCGAGGAGGGGTTGTCGTCTTTCGATGTCCAGTGATAGACCTCGGCCCTTCTGCAGGGCTTTATCCAGCGCCGCAGGGTCCAGTGATGGCTGGATCTCAGCATCTTTCCCCTCACACTCCGCTAACCACGGTACCAGCTCGGCCTTGTGCTGCTGGTAGGTTTCTGCTTTGCTGAGTGTGGCTTTCAGTCTGCTCTCTCGATCCGCGATCTTCTGGTTCATCCCATCCCAGTCCTGTTTCAAGGAGGCCAGGCGAGACTGCAGGGCAGAGCGCTCCTCTCCGCCCGCGGGGAGAGAGGCGAGCAGCGACGCTCCCTCGGCCTGCAGCAGCTCGTAGGAGCCTCTCTGACTGGCGACCCCCCGCTGGAGGTCGTCAGTCTGAGCCAGCAGGGAGCGGATGGCCTGCGGCTGACAGGGAAGGGAGTCTGGGGAAGACGCTCTGGGATCCGACTGCTTGTCGAGCCACGAGCGCAGCTCCTCAAACATCTGCTGGAACTGCTGCGTGGACGACAGAGCGGCCTGGAGCTGAGACAGCCCGTCAGCTAGAGGGAAGACAAACACAGGGATTTACAAACATAAACACTGAGAAGCTCTTTCAAACTAAAAGAAAGAGTTTTTGTTGTATTTATTTTTGGTGGATTTGTCAGTTTCATTGAAATCAAAACACTATTCCTATTACAGCTGAAGAGGGATTACGTTTGGAAGAGAATATGGTTTAACCACATCAACTTGTCATCATCATAGTAGATCATTATCTCTGTAGAGAAAATTACTATCTGCATATAAGTCAAGCATAAACATACCAGAACACTTACAGAGATCGCGGTCTTTAATTTTGAGAAATGTACGTACTTAGTACATGAATTAAAGGAGAACTATAACTAAAGCTGATCATCATGTCCAAAATTCTATAACAAATAAATGATTTGGTTCTGTAATGACTGCTGACAGATTATCTGGCGGATAAAGGCAAATGTAACTCACTTTTTTTAGTTCTTAAATTGAGTGAGAAATGTCAAGCATCATAAGACTTATATATTGATTTAGGTTGGATTTAGTTGTTTTTAGTAGTCACTAATGTGTGATTCATGTTTATATATGTATTTAATTTCAGTTTTCAATATACAGTAGGACAATTTAATATTTACCCCGGTCATGACCATCTATAAGGAAATAGGAGGGGAGGAGAAAGATGCTTAAACTAATCTCTCTATTTTTGTGACGAAAAACAAATACAGATTTTATTTTTTTGAACGGGACCATTGTGTCATTAAACTCACTAAAAGCACATATCAACCACATGAAGTCCACCAACCTGCGCGCTCCTCTAAACTCCTGAGCGGGGCGCTGACACTCTGCAGGCGTTTGCTCAGCTCCTCCTTCAGGTACGGCTCGGCCACGATGCTGCTCAGCTCGCTGCAGAGCCTCTCCGCCTCGCCCAGCTCGCAGCGCCGCCTCTCCAGCTCAGAGCGGATCTCACCTGTCTCCTGCAGGCGGAGTTTTAGCGCCTCGGGCTGAGCGCTCAGCGAGGCCTGACCATCCAACCTCTCCCCCAGAGCAGAAACACTGGAGGAGAGCTGTCTGAGCAGGGCCTGGGCGGGGGACGAGGGGGGTTAGGAAATAATGGCGTCATAGTGACAGTATAACATGAATCCATACTGTCAAGTCAATCTGACTTACCTGGTACTGTTCGCTGGTTCCTTGCGCCTGGTCGATGTGGTTTGACCTCTGGGTCAGTCGGTTGGTAAGCTCCTCCCACTGCTGGGAGATGGAGCCCAGCTCAGACCGCACCTCCGCCAGGTCCTTGGGGTCCTGAGCAGAGTCCCCAGTCTGGGAAAGGATTCCCTCCGCAGACTGGGTCAGCTGCTCAAACTGCGGCCGCCTCGTGTCAAACTCACGCAGCATGAACTGGAAGATAAACGAGGAGAGATTCAAATATTCATTTTAATGAAATAAATATTTTAATCAAAAAGTAGGTTTTTTGTTTGATAAATAAAAAATAGCATTTAGAAAAGCAGGGTTTTATTATTATTGTTTTTAATTTTAAGAAATTATAAAAATTAGGAATTATATAGATTTAACAACCTGACTTTTTTTTATACACTGCTGGTTCACTAAATATTAACACATAACTTTGTGGTTTGTAATTTAATGTACACATATGTCTTGAAAATGTGTCAAATATTTTCATACTATCAGCCTGAGTTCATGATTTAAGAGTGCATTTGAATGTCAAAATAAGAGTATGAAGGAGTATATGTTGTATTAACAGCCAATGGAATTACTAATACACATTAGCTTTTGTCATTATTCCGTTTCTTTTCTTGATGTATTTCTCCTTAAGCTGGATTTTGTGTATGGATTACCACATTGTGTGTGTGCGTACATATTAATGTGTTGTATCACTTGGTGTTATCCCTGTCTTCCATCACTAACCTGTGCTTGCTGCTTCTGTGTGTTCAGCATGTTGGGGTCGATGCTCAGGGGCCCCAGCACGCTCATCATCAGCTCCTTCTCCCTCAGCCAGGGGCCCAGCTGACTGGCCGCTGAGGCGAAGCTGCCCAGCCTATCAGCACACGTCTCCAGCTCCGTCTGCCTCTGCGCTGCCGTCTGATTGGCCGTCTGCCAGCGCGAGTCTGGGAGAGTAGTCAATTGAGAGTGGGTTATGAAAAACGTTGCTGCACGTGTTTGTAATTTTTGGGGGTTATGAAAAATCAAGGGTAATACGAAATAATATCAATAATGGAGATGAAATCCAAGGTGAATCAAAGTGTAGAAGAAAACTATTTAAATGATTTCACCCTTTGTCCCTCCCCCTAATTATTCTCTACTTCTCCCACTCTGACTCATTTTCTGGGCATCCATCAGTGTGTGTGTGTATTCAGTCCAAATGGCTTTGAAAAGGCATGATAGAATCTGACATAAATATAATATAAATATTTCTGTCTTGGTTACATCATAGGAGGCTGGTAAAAATATCAGATATGCAAGACAAAAAATATCTTTGAAAAGAACACTTCCCACTCTGTCCCTGGATTATATCGATTCCTCGGTTCCTCGCCATCTCTTGAAAAAGTATTTCAAATTCAGAGGCTCCATACCACCTTCTTTTTAACGGTTTTCAAAACACACCACAGTAAGAATACCTCATCTTGTTTTCATCTTTTCTCAGTTTTTAAACACATTTTCTTTTGCGCCTCAATTAAACTCCTTTTGTTTCCAGTGTTTTTTTACATGGTAGTTTATTTCATTGGCAGTGCAGTCATCCGTTGTTGGAAGGCTGCAGCCATTCCTGCGTGATGGCTTTCTTGCTAGGAGCCAAAATCATTTGAAAGAGATATTCATCTTCTGCCAATATACCCTGGATTTTGCCCAGGTATAACCTAACAAAAGAACAATCAACCTTTATTTCAAATATTTTCATTACAAACTATTGCCAATAAGAAAATAAATTACAGGCAAGACAGACATAACGTAACATAAGCTCACCGACTGTTTTCACTTATCATATTTCTCTAAATGGATGATTATTTAAATCCCTCAGGCCTTGTCCCTTCTCTGTATCTGGGTTTTTCTTCATAATGGCTACACAGGGTCTTTGACTTGTACTGCAAAGTATTCCTCAAAGCTGTCCCCCCCCATCATTTGACTTCAGTTTCTGCCTCCAGTTTCTGTAAAGTGGCTCCCATCATCTGGTCAAACGCCCTCATGTATTTTTGTGTCATCTTTAGCACACACCTATCTCCTGCAGCTGCTGCCTCCAGGTGTCGGCCTCAGGAGAATCTGGATTGTCGGCGATCAGTTTCCTCAGCGAGCTCTTCAGCTCCTCCACCTTCCCAGAGTGCTCCGCCAGCTCTGAGAGCAGAGCCTGGAGAAGAACGGGAAGAAGACCAGCAGTTAAATACTGCATCCATTTCATATGACTTCATAACTTAGATGAGGCAAAGAGAGTCCTGATGTGTGAGTTTAGACAATGTAATGTGTCCAGGTCACTCTCCTGCAGATTTCATAAATGAAAATGGATTGGAAAAGCTACATTTAAAAAAAATGTATTTGGTTTAAAGACTTTAAACAACGAGTAAAGATTGTAATATATCTTATTACGTTTTATTTATTTATTTTTGAAACCCAAAATAAAATAAATAAAAATAAAGACAGTTGCACTAATTAATAACATTAATATATTATAATATTGCAATCTTATATAATTTAATTATATACAATGAGTCCAAAATAGCTGAAGGACTACAAAAATAGGGAAAAAAAGCAACAGAATAACCTAACTCTTAAGTTGTACAGCACTTTGGCTCGACCAAAAATCGTTTAAAAATGTGCTATATAAATAAAACTTGATTTGATTTGATTTAAGAGTATATACCGTGATCTTATTGCATGATTTTCATTGTTAGAGAAAAGCCCAATAGAGGGATCCGGTCCTACCTTGTTCTCCTGGGCCTGGGCGCGGACCACCTCCGGTTTGGAGGGGGAGGCGGTCTGTCCCTGTCTCAGGCTGCTCTCCCTGTCTGTCAGCCAGCTCTTCAGCTCCTCAGCATCCTGCCTGGCCTTCTGCCTCAGCTCCAGAGACACCTCCTGTCTGCCCAGACGCTCCTTCAGATCCCCCCCCAGCGCCTCATACCGACCGTTCACATCAGACACGGCTACCTGGAGCTCCGTCAGGTCTGAGGGCACAGTGAGGGAAAGGAGCAAACGGATTAGCATATTGCTATTGAGATTAGCAGAAACAAACACAAACAGATAGGTAATGTAAGAACAATAGAGTCAACAAAGGTAGGGTAATAAGCATGGATGGATTGTGTGAGAATGGGCCCCTGGGCACAGAGATGCTAGAAGCCCCAAGTCTACATGAACCAAGACCACCAAACACAAAGAGTCACAATTCGTGCCTTGTTTTAGTCGCTTAACACCTATGTTAGGTTTCTATGTGGTAGTTTTATGTATATTTGTAGTATTTTATTGCATCTCCTTGTGGTTATTGTTTTGAGTTGTTTGAGTTTTCCATCTCTTTGATTGTCTTGTGCAATTTTTCAAAGTTTTGCATCTATGTGTAGTCGTCTTGTGTGTCTTTTTGTAGTTTTGAAACTTTGATGTTGTCTTAAATGTCTTTGTAATCGTTATGTGTATGTATTTTGGGTGTCTTGTGTTGTTTTTTTAGCCATATTCTGAGAGTCAGGGCCCCTGGGAGTGTGACCTGTAGGACAATCAGTGCTAATGCTAATAAGGTATACAGTTGTTATGAGCCTTCAGACAGCTAGTACATGTAAACAGGGCAATATTTATTTTGCATTGGACAAATGCCACTGACAGATATCTGCATGGACAGACAGCTGATGGAGACAGGACAGTTGAAACAGAAAACAGTAATCATTTAAGAGTCATCATATAAAGTGACCAGAGACCAGCAACAGAACAGGAGACAAATTCAATGAAGCTTTTGTTGTACTCATTTGGAGGAGGTACTGAACTAAAAGAGAAAGAGAGCTAGAGGCAGATCTCACCTTTACAGGTGTGGATGCCATTGACACTGCTGGGCCCTGCTGAGACATTGATGTGAGGAAGACCTGGGAGAGACACAGCGGACTGAGACAGTGCACTACAACACTTGTACAAGGTCATACAGAAAACAGGACCGAAAGCGGTGGAAACAGACGACAGAAGTGATGCAGTCATGCACGATACCAATACACTTCAATTACATCGAAATGTAATGAGTGTATCAAATGTGTGAAATCTGCTTTGTTATCCAACCAACAAAGTTATTTGGCTTTCTCAAAATTTCGCATTTGACTTTTTAATTAATTACAGAACACTAAAACAATTCTTAAGATTGGTGGCTTTGTTGCATTTGTCTGCACTTTACATTAAAAAAAGAAATACATCTTATGACCTCTGAAACCATCACAGGTGAGCTGTACCACAAAATGAGTTATTATAACAGAAGTAGTGATTCTAAATGCAAATTATAATATATTCTGTTTCGCTCTATTCTGCCTTCTCCCTTGTGTTCATATTTTGTTTTTCAGTTCTGTTTTTCTCTCCGGTCAAATCATTTTATAAACCCCTCAGTGATTATTTTTCCTCCCACCTACATCATCTTGTAAAAAAGCCCTTATTATAAATAAGTAATTCAAACTGAGAGTTGAGGGTTTTATATGTTTGGCGTCTCTTACCAGTTTTGGTCTTAGGAGCGGTGATGTCGATGATGAGCGACTCCAGCTCAGAGCCCGTCTTGTTCAGATCCTGAACTCTTCCTCCCTGAGACTCCCAGTCATCCAGCAAGTCCTGGAGGCAAGATGCAATTTGCTGAGTCATTGTGGCTTAAGAACACATGATTTTTTTCAAACGAGTGGAAGGGCATGGCTTTTGAGTCATTTGTTATGAATGAATGATGAGAGACACACACCTTGAGCTGCTGGACTCTCCTCTGCAGGCTCTCTGTGTTGAGGTTGGCCTCTTTGGCCGCCAGCTGGTCCTGCCCTGTCTGGAGCCACCTGAGGAGGGAGCCGGAGAGCCCGCGGAACTGCAGGAGCTGCTGCTCACAGGCCTGGAGGGCAGCAAACCTGTCGGAGGCAGGCAGAGGCAGAGAGGACATGTTATAGAAAAAGAAAGAAAGAGAAGGTAGGAGGCAGTGATAGAGAGGATGAGGAGGAGTTACATAAAGTGGGAATATAGATAAAATAAAATAATCCATCCTACACTTTAACGCAATGTAAACCTATGTCTGTTAAAGTGTTTTATTGTTACATTAGTGAATATACGTGTCACTTCAATGATACAATATTGCAACAAACATTGTGGGGAAATTCCCATGGCACATCACTTAACTATTTCTTTCTAGGCACACATCCTTCCTACAGTTATAACATAGTCAGATCCTGGTTAAGTTGCTTTTTGTGAGTTGATATGAATGTAAACTGATTTTGCAAAATAGGCATATTATATGAAATTGTGTCTCTATATCTGCAAATATCTGATTGTCCAAATAATCAATAAAACAGAGCAGCATTTGGTGAAAAGCATTTCTGATACTCAAAATGAAAATAATACACGTTTATTTATTGCATGTCTGTTTGTTCTTGGAGAGGAATCCATCTGTTGCTGACGTTTCTCCCATTTTTTCCCCTTTCAAAATATTTTGTGTTTACTTTTCTCTTCTGAATCAAATTGTCAGAATGTTGTTTGACCTTCAGATTGTACAGCGCCTTGAGGCAAATTGGGCTAGAACAATAATAAAACTGATCAAACTTGAAAGCTCACACTGGCCTTCCTTTTCTCAGCCTTGACCTCACTCTCTCAGCCTCTAGCTGTGGTTGCAAAGTGCTGATGGCCCGTAGACAGAACAGACGTATCATTATCGTGCTGCTATTTTCTCCCCTCAGGATTCAGGGCTGGGGGTCATATGAGTAGGCCGTTTATGGGATGGACAATGAGCCGTGTCCACGCTGCTTATATTAGCTCCGGGGCTTCACACAGATACAGTAGAGACACGGACACGCTGCACTGTAAGCAACTGCAGTGCAGCAAGTTAAGAGTTTACAAGCTACATGTTATAAATGATAGATAAATGGTCACATTCCTCATCTCTTGGTATCTGTTCAGGATATATTTAAATATGTCCATTAACAGCTAATATTAGTTATATAATGAAATAAATCTGCACCAGACTGATGGTATTTATAATTTCCCAGCCCCCCTCCTGACAGGCTTCAAGTGGCTGAATCCACGTCACCCAGGGTAGGCATAGCAACTGGTTCACTGTGAAGGCTACAGAATTAGAAAACAAATGTTGTAAATGCCAGCGGCGTGGTCTGTTCTCAGAGACACTCACAAGTATTTTTCATAAGTATCCAATCAAATCAAATCTTAATATTTAAGATTCGCTTCATCTGTTGCTGAAGTTATCTTTGGTTGTCAGTCAAACTGGAGCTGAAGCTGGTCATATTTTAACATCAAAAACTTCATAGCTGAATGATTTTGTGTTTGCTGCCCCCTTGTGTCATCTATGGCACAGTGCAGAAATCATAGGAAGGGTTGGTTCTTATAAATATTCCTTCAAATCACTCCCATTGTTATGTACAACCTTCATAGTTATAATTATTTCCTACTGACAACACAACGTTAAGATCACATATTAATAATATTGATTTTAATGTAGGATTTTCTATAGAAAATGGCAAAAAAAGGACCAAACCTTCCTCTGCAAGGTGAGGAAAATGTAATACTTCACATGTATGGCTGAATGATTTAAAAAAGGCGGTTCTTACGTGTTATCTTATAAAAATGTTACCTTTGGTTGACATTGGCTTCCAGTTGGGTGAACTCATCTGACACTCCTTTGACATTATCCAATAAGCTTTGTGTGTTATTGAAAGCTTTTGATTGGCTGAGATCGGTGCCCAGGTTGCAGAAGGATTTCAGCTGACCGGCTTCCTGCTCCAGCTCAGACTTGACCTCCTGAGAAAAGACGGACAGCGTTGAATGCACCAGCAGTAGAACTTATCCACTTATCTCTCAGAGGCTCTTAGGTGTCAGACAGTTGAAGTGATATAACTGCTGACCTCGATGGTCTGCCTGTAGTCGTCCACGCTGCGCTCAGGCTGCCCCCCTGGGCTCAGGGCCTTCAGTCGGCTCTGGGTGAAGACCTGGAGGTCGGCCCCCAGCCGCTCGTAGCTCTCCAGGCGGGGCAGCAGCCCTTTGAGCTGGGCCTCGCTCTCCGCCTGGCTGCCCTGCGCTGCGGCGTAGCGCTGAGTCAGCTGGTCTAAAGAGCCCTGCAGGCCCGAGGCCGTTGAGGCGTCCGAGCTCTGCAGGAGTTTGGAGATGGAGTCTCGCGTTGCTTCCACGCTGCCCTGCCGGGACAGCAGCTCCTGGCGAAGTTTCTGGGTAAAGACGAGGAACAAATTCTATTTAGAATGCAATTTTCGCTTTTTAGAATAACAATTAACAATAAATCAAAAACAATCAACAGATTACAGCCACTTAGTGGAGAACGGTTTTGATTTTCTGTAGATGTTTAAAAAGATTATCCATATAGTATTTGAAACCTAAGAGAATACTTGAGTTGAGCTGTACTCACTCAACCTGTGGTTAAACACAAGCAATGATCTCATGTGCCGTTTCTTAAGTCAAAGTCAACTTTATTGTCAATCTTTCCGTTTGTGTGTACAGACAGAGAGATCGAAATACTGTTTCCCACAATCCCGAATACAAAAATATGTATAAAATATGTATATCCTATATATACACAATCAACAGACACATTTATACATATGTACACATTAAGACATAAACAAAAGCACAAGTGTTTTACCATTAATACTAACACAGTTACAGTTCGACATAGTCACTGTGTTACTATGGTAACGTAGTGTTGAGAGCGACATTTTTTCAAAGTTCTTGACTATATTTTTAGCTGTGTAAATAAAAGATAAACTCCTCGTATGATTATTTTATATATGTTTTAATATAAATAAATATACATTAGCTATAAGGCAAAAAGGATCAACCCCTCAAACATCGTGAATCTTATTTCAATTGCATTATCCATTAATATTATCAATAATAAAATGTCAGTTTATTGAAGTATGTATTGGATAATGACAAAGAATCTTTTAAACATCTACAGACAAAGTTGAATTGATTCATCTCATCCAAAAATGTGTTAAAATGCTGAAAATCCTATAGAACTTAGTAGCAGGTGGTCTAGCCAAAAAAAGTGTTCCCGATGACTTGAGGCTAACTCGTACCTGGTTCTGGGTCAGGGCGTCCTGCAGGGCCTGAGCGGTGGGCTCCACAGGGCCCGGGGTCAGAGGCAGTTTGTCCAGCCAGCCCAGCAGAGCCGTCAGACCCTCCTGCACGCTGACCGACTGCGCCACCGCCGTCTGCAGCTGCTCCGCCCGCTCCGACACAGAGGCAGAGAGCGAGCCAAACCTCTTCTCCAGGCCGTCTGGAGAGAAGGAGCGGCGAACATTAAACATGACCTTTCTCAACTACGTCATGGAAATTGGGGCAGTGATAAGTGTTTATCCCAAATAGTATACTGAAATGATGTTATGTTGGAGAAAACAAAGTCTGGTGATTAGAATGAAATGTATTTTCTCTGCTGAGTATGTTATCTTCAATGTTATTGTTATGAAGGTCTAGATGATGTTTCATAACCTGTGTTTCTCTGTGATGTAACCCTACAAGAGGCTCTGTCTGTGTCTCATTACTTACATGAATAAAACGATGAAAATACAAATATTGAATATTGTGTTTCGGTGCATTGGTTGTCTATCTCATCATTTCTCCAGAACCAAAGCTGATTCTAAGTTGTGACTTGGCTCAATAATGGCATTTTTACATGAATGTATCAACACAGGGTAACTGAGTTTCTCACCTGCAGCACAGAGGATGTCCACAGCCTTCAGTGAAGGAGACTCTTCAGTGCTGACCAGGTCTCTCCCGGCTCTCTTCACCTTCTCCAGCTGCACTGAGCGCTCAGCCAGCTCGTCCTGCAGCAGCTGAGGACAGAGAGCACACACTTGTTACTTTCATTAGTATTGGGGTTTCAGCTCTGGATGAAACTAGTTCCAAAAACAGAGTCTTTGGGCCCTTTTTATAAATATCTTGATACAACTTGACTGTTCATTTTTTATATTTTTTTCAGTTTTGTTATATCAGGGCTATTATCTCTGTTGGGTTGTATTTGACAATCACATGTGAATGATATGTATAATTATCACATTTGTAAGAGCTTTTGGATCATTGAAAGTGGTTAATATGCACTGCTTACTAGTAAGTCAGGTTTTGGGCAGCGATTTTTATGGGGTTTATTGGTTGGACATTTTTTTTTTTTAATAAAAAATACAAACAAAAAGAAAAGAGTCCACACATCATTTCCATTTTACAATTTTAACCAAGACATTGATTTCAGATGACTCATTCATATTTTTCCGTAGTGTAAGTGCTCTTTTTCTGCGCGTCTTTGTTCTCGCTTTGTGACTTGTTTATGTGAAAGTTTATAATCCGTGCTTCACCTGCACTTGTCGTAGTGTGTCCTGCAAGTTCTTGGGGTCGGTGTCTCCGCTGGGCTTGGCTATGCTTTGGTGCTGTTCCTGAGTGCTGAGCCACGAGTGGAGGGACACCACCTCATCCTGGTACTGCTGGTACCTCTCCAGCAGGCCGGACAAACGGCCCGCCCAACTCTGTTGACTGAACACACCAAAAAACGTTTGTTCAAAGTCAAGAGAAAGGTGTGAGAAAGTCATTATTTGAGCACCATTCCTAAAACTGCTAGCCTCCCTCACCTTTGTGTGCAGGCTGGTGTATCTGTGGTTAGCGTCCTGCAGCTTGTCAGTCACCAGCTGCTTGGTGCTGTCCAGAGCGGGGTCTGAACCCCCGACCTGCTCCAGAGCTCCTTGAACGGAGTCCAGAACCTTCTGACCCGAGATGGAGACGAAGCGCAGGTCCGCCTTGTGGCAGATTACATCCTCAGCAAGCTGGAAATACAGACACAGGTCAGATGGGGAAATGTGCAGGAGATCAATCAGGATAATGACATTTTAATTTAAACAAAATGGAAATGGAAAGCATAGTCATGACCAGCAGGTTGGTAGATCAGATGTTCTGGGAAAGGATAGAAGCTGTTATATATAAATGTAATATCAAGGGACTTTTCAAAGGAAATGATCCAGAAGTGCTTTAGTGGAGTTTCTCAGATGAGAATGTGTGATTACTGTAAATCACGGCATGTCAGAGCGTATGGAAACTGAGCGTGGAAACTCACTCTTCCATGGATAATTAGAGGTAAAAAAAAGGGCAGTGTGTGTTTTCACTCAGCCGCACTCAGCTCACATGCAGAGAGACATTTCTCTGCACATTTAGTTCAAAGCACCTGAAACCAGGCGCAGCCAATATAACATTAAGCAGAGCCACAAAGTCTGGATTTTCAGAGTCTCAGCGCAACATGCCCGACCAATAGGAGGGGGAGTAAGAGCAGCAGCAGTCTGAACCTGCAGGTAAGAGACATGCCAGTGTACAATACTATTATTAGGGCTGTATTTGTACTGCAACTGACAAGGCAATGCCAGATTGTGGCCGCCTTCTAATTTTTCCGCAACATTTGAAACCAAAACAATGTTAGTTCTTGATCGTCTCTTTTCTCAATCTCATAGCAAGGTTCACCCTATTCTAGCAGTGCTTTTCTTTCTTCGGGGGTAAAACAAGGGTTATGTTCAAGCCAGATAAACATTTGATTTATTTTAAAAGAAAAAGGTGCATTTAGTCAGACATGGGTGAACAGCTCCCCCTTGTGGGGAATCTTCAGGATGTTAAACCGCAACGATACACTCGCACAGTTCTCTGAAGAGCTGAAATATAAAGAAAGATGAACTTATACAATGCATGGTTTGTATTCCATTATATTATTATTGCATGTACCTTCCTGTGCTCCTCCAGCCTGCCCTTCAGTCCTTGTGCATCAGTTTCTCCTTCCCCCAGGGAACGCAGCTCCTGCTCATTTTGTTCCAGCCAGGTACCCAGACCTCCGTGTTCTTGGAGGAACTTCGTCAGCTCGTCCTTCAGAGACTCAGACTTCCTCAGGCGGTCCTAGAATAAATAGTTACAGCATTAGCGGTCAGTTAACCATTAGCAAATATTAATACAATTTTAGTGATGGGCAAGGTGCGGTTGAAACAGGAAATCCAAGATCAGGGGACATAAGTTCAGTCCTGAGGCATCGCTGTGACTTTATGTGGAGTACCTGGCAGCTCTGCAGCCTCTCCTGGTGCTGGGCCTGCAGCTGATCCAGGGCGGCCCGGAGACGCTGCTTCTCCTCAGGAGGGACGGTGGAGTCCGGCTGGTCCAGAAGGGAGCGGGTGGACTGAGTGATCTGGAGCAGCTGAGCCTGTTGAGCCTGCAGCTGCTGCAGCTCATTCTGAGGGGGAGGTCAAAGGTCATTAGATGGTAATATGCAAGTTGAATGTGCTAAACACATGAACAGTAGAGATTCTAACCTGCAGCGTCTCTGTGTGTGACATCACAGCGCCTTCTGGCTGTGAGAAAAATGTGTCAGGCATGTCTCCAGATCCCACTCCTCTCCCGCCTGGTTGGTTGAGAGAAGATAACTCCTTCAACAGAGAGTCTATCTGGCCCTGGGTCTCCTGGAGATCCTCCTCAGCCTTAGCCTGAGGGAGAGGAGAGGAAGAGAGGATGAGTACAAAATAAGTCAACAAAGTGCCTCACACAACAATACATTTGTTTTTATAATTGGGCCGCTGTATAGCCTGGTATAGCTGGCAACCCAAGTACTGGGTCTCGGTCCTCATTCAGGGGATCACAGTTTGAATCCGCCCTGGGACTATTCAAAGATGTCATTCCCTCTGTCTACCCCCTTTCATCTCTGTCTCCTAAATCAAGGCACTGGTGGCCCGAAAACATATATTTAAAAAAATAATAATACATAAAAATAAAAATAAATGCATTATTTGGGATTTGTTCTTAAATGAAAAACAGAATCCGTGCACACTCAAGAGGCTCTTTGTGCACATTTAGTGCTGACATGTTTGTGCAATTGTTTTTACAGCTGTATAATAAAATATATAACTTACAATAATAGTTTTATCATGTATAATCTTTTTTTTTTTTAAATATCCACTACTACTACTACTACTCAATATGTTCTTGCGTTCCTGAAGAAGCACCTCCACTTGAGCTGAACAATTAATCAGAGTTTCAATGAAATTACAATATTGACTAGTGCAATATCCAAATATTTTCATATTGCTGAAATATTTGGTAAAGGCTAAATAAGTGTGGTCAACTACACTTTCCTTTTGAAATTCTTGACTTAATTCTCTCAGTCTTTCCTGTGTGCACAAGACCATGCAGTCTCCCATTTCAATTATTGAGGAAACTAAATATTTTTTCTGTGGACCTTTCCCAAGAACAAATATGAGACCACATTTCTGTGAAGATATTGGTAAAGCGAGCCCGATATTAAAAATAGTTTGTACTATGTATATACACATCTATAACCTCTCTTCTTCTTACCCTCTGTGTGTTCTGCTGCACCGTGGTGCTGATGGCTGTGTCCAGCTCTGACAGTGACGTGTCTGCTGAATCTTTGAGGGTGCTGTACTGCTCCTTCAGTCTGGTTAGCGCCCCCTGGAGGTTCTTCCTCTCCTCTGGGCTCAGACTCTCTCCTCGGTCTGCCAGGAGCTCCTCCACAGAGCGGATAGCCTCGGCAACAGCCTCCCCTTTGGCCTGGAGGTCCTTCTGTGATTCCTGGAGAAATATTGATTCAGTCAAAGAAGAAATGATGTTCACTGAGCGAAAACGAATGGTGCGTAGGATGTGAACGTAGGATGTGACGACGAAGGTTTCTTACCTTTAGTTTTTTCTGCTTCTCTTTCAAGACGTTCACGTCACCTGACTCTGCTCCACCTTTCTGACCGACCAATAAGCTGGCAGCTCCGGCCAGCCACATGGTGAGGCCTTCTAGTTTCTGGGAGCATTCGGCCTTCTGCTGTTGAACCACCTGAGATGAAGAAATGAGGAAGAAAGGGGAAAAAAAGACCAAACAAAGAGAGAAAATGTGAGAAAAACTGATATATAGGCAATTAACCTGGATCATGTTTTGCATGTTTGATCCAACCACCAGTTTTTCACACTTTTGACCCCTAAGTAACACAATTCTTGTGTTGTGCACACTTTGCCAAGCTTTGAGCAGTTTGTGTCCAGAGATCACACACACACACACACACACACACACACACACACACACACATACACACACAGGCAGACACACATATAGAACCTTCACATAAACATGTTGGTCAAGCAACAACAAACAATACAGAGAGAACAGACAAATATTTGTTTATTGGCTGTTTTTCCTCTTCCTCCTCTGTACTCGGGGGGAGACAAGAGGAAAAACATTGAAGCGCTGTAGCCTGCGAGGCTTTTCTGCTTTAAAATCTCTAGCCGTTACCGCCGTGACACAAACGATTTCCTTCAGTGGCAATCTGGAACAGCAAGGCAAACAGGTTAATAAAACACACGTTATAGAGACATGCAGAGGAGCATCAAAAGCTTGTTACTGTAAGTAGGAGTGACGGTGGTGATACTGTTCATGTGGCAAAGCTTTTGCAAACAGATCAGCAGTGGGTTGCTATAGAGATATGAATTGATGTGAGAAGGTTTAAGGTGATATTTAATGGTGCTAAAGTTAAATTGTGACCAAGATTAGCTTGTTTACATCAGCCTTCTAAAGTTTCTAGTCTTAAATTAGTTTAATTCTATAGAACGTGCATTATATTTTGTGTGAGAAAGCATGGCAAAAGTTCATAGCATGACAAATAAAGCTGTGAAATATACTTATAAAAGCAGGATTCTAAATGTATTAGTGAGAAAAAGCTAAGAGTTTTAAACCAATACGACTCAATCATCCTTTTCCAAACCTCTCTGTCCCTTGCACTCTGCCTCTCTCTGTCCTTCTCCTCTTCTTTGACTCTCTCCCTGCGCTGCCGCTCCTCCTCCCTCCCCCTCTGGGCGGAGAGGGCATCTGCCCAGGCCTGAGCTTGTCCTGAGGCCAGGTGGAAGGCCCTCTGCAGCTGCTGCAGCTGACCCAGGAGCTGCCGGCTCTGCTCGGGGGCCAGGTCCTGGGCCCGCTCTGAGATGAACACCTGGATGTCAAAGGCAGTGCTGTTGACCTCACTGGAGCGAGCCGTCAGAGAGGCCTGGAGCTCCTTAAAGAAAAGAGACATGAAAGAGTGAAATTCAGTACAAACATTTATTCGGTTTTTTCGTACGCTGAGCTAGAAATCTTCCCTTCAGTAGCACTTACATACACCAACTTTTCCAGTTTGTTCATAAAGGATTCAAAGCATGATTTATTTATTCACTTATTTCTAAAAACTTAGCAGAAATTGATTTGTTTCATGGCTATTTATTGATATATGGAGGTATAAAAGGAGATATCCAAAATGTACTCTTTGAAAACCTTTGATTTAATACGTTAACAAAAACAAACAATATGATTTTGAGCGTTGCTTTGTCCAATGTTCTGAATTCTCTTCGGTAATGTATGGAAATTAGCACACATCTAACAAGAGAATGCCTCATTTGCATAATAAACCATAATATTTCAGAAAACTTGTAGTTCAAAAATAACTCTATTAAAGGTGGGGTAGGTAATTTTGGAGAAACCAACTTGAGTGCGCTAAAATTTGAAAATACACAGCCGGAAAAAATCTGCCACTTCCTTACAGAGCCCCTCCTCCAACACACACGAACGCGCACATGACCAATGAGGGCACGAGATAAGTTTGTGCACAGATGGAAGGCTGACAGGCAGGTACTGTAGGCCATCCAGTTATTTTAGCCGGGCCGGCTAAAATGATTGGTCGTGCTTTTCACAGTACCACGGCTTCCACAGATGACATTTTTTTATGGATTTTTTTGGTCAAAGCACTTAAGATATTCATTGCTATCGGGATGTTAAGAGCATTCCATGGAATATAACAAAAAGTGTATCTCGAGCCGGTTTCTCAAACTTACCTACCCCACCTTTAAGGTAAGTAATCAACTTAGAAAGTTACAGGACGATAGCTTTTAGTTTACTTTATTGACCTGTCATGGTGTCACCTCAACCTCAAATTGCTTTTAATTTAATTGAATGTAGTCTAATTAGCATTAAGGAATAGTTTTGCAACACTGACTTAGTATTTCAAGTGTAAAAAAAATCTGTTTGGGTCATACTATAATTTAAAAAGGAAGACTAAACATTTACTTTGGATCGGACAGAACTTGCCTTGCAGAGATTCAGCTGCTGTGTTAGCTGATCACTATGATCTTCTTTCTCTGCCGTCTCCATTTTGTCCATCCCCGCCATTCCACCACTCATCTGAGCCTCTGTCTCCCTCAACCAAGAGAGCAGATTCTCCACTCGTCCTCCCAGGGACTTCTGCTCAGCTGTTACTGCCTCCTGAGAAACGTCAGGGTGAATCAAATCAGACATCTTCACTTAAGAAATGAAGTTCTAGAACCAAAAACGATAATCCTTCAGAAAAACCTATAAGAATAATGTTTTCAAGTAACCTTAACAACGAATAAGCACCTAATCTGGTTTACTCAAGACTGATATTTGTACCTTATATGAGTTTCTATGGTCTCGTAGACTTTGCAGAATGCCCTCAGAAAGTGCCCTGGCAGCCTCATACCCACGGGCCAGGCTCCGCCCATCCTTCTCCAGAGCCAATAGGAGCTGCGGAGGAACGTCTTTAGGTCGGGGCTTCAACAGTTCTTCAGCATCCTCCACCTCTTTGGTGACTGCAGGCTCCAAGTCACGCAACTCAAAGTCCAGAGTCTGAGAGACAGATTAGGGAAAGAAAACAAAAGTTTTCTTGATGCCGTTTGCTAAGAGGCTTTAATCCTTCAATCCACTTTTTTGTCAAGGAACAAAGTACACAACTGAAACTGCAAAATAATTAAATTGTCAAAAATGTACAATTATGTTGGTTGGCATCACATTAATATGACAGCACATCTCTATCAGGTAAGTATGCTCATTCTTTTACCTCAGTCTGTGTGATGATGTCATCCAAGGCGATAAGGCTGCGGCCAACAGACTGCTGCTGCTGCTGTTTGAGTCGGACCTCGATGTGTCTTACCATGGACACCAGGGCTACAATTTGCTGGTCATGCTCCAAGCACTCTTGCCGCATCAATGATGACTGTGGAAAAGGAAAAATATACAATAAAACACAATTAAATGTGTATACATTTAAGCAGCAGAAAGTTCCCTCTACAGTAATCCATATAGTTTACAAATCATTAGCTTCTTCCAGTGTTTGGATCCTTTACGTTCAAGGATGTTTCGTTTCCACCTGATCCAAGAGGCTTTTTAAGGAGTTTGTTTCACTTAAGTAGTAAGATAATGTTCTCAACACATAAAGGAAGTCTTTAATGTTCAATTTATCAGAAATATTCACATTCCAAATCACAACATTTGGAGATACATGGTTTGGACTGGACAAAAGCAGTATGGGAAATGTAGTTGAGTATTAATTACATTTGAGTCTAAAATGTAGTAGAGTAGTAGTATAACATTGAATAATAAAATGGAAATACTCAATGAAAGAACCTCTAATGTGTACTTAAATAAACATACTGTACTTAAATTCTACCAGTGGCTATTCTTACCTTGCCGGTCATGGATGTCGCCCCTTCTTTTTTGGCCACTATCTCTCGGCTTTCACTGACATCGTGCTCTCCTTCCCCCCAACTCTCAGAGGCTGAGTCAGACTCAGGGACTCCAAGAGATTCAGACTCTGTTGAAGTATCTTCTGAGAGTGAAGGTGCTGATTCTTTAGACTCAAGATGTTGCTGTTGTTCTTTTAGAGTGTTTGATTCTGGAACATTGCTGCCATCAACTCCAGGTGGTTGGTGCCTTCTCTTCTTTCTGCTTTTCCCTACGGTTTTATCTGGTTGTGTGCCAAGAACCACAGATTGACTTGGGGGTTGAATGTCTGGTTTGCATGCAACAGCTTTTTGAGTAATGTCAATGGATTTGCCAGCAATGTTGGTTTCTGATTGGGATTCTTCTTTACCTATAGATGTAACCCCTGGCGATTGTGTTTGTTCCTCGATGTTAGAATTGAGTTCTTCAGATTTACATAAATATGTGGGACTGTGTTGACTCGTCTTAGCTGCTTTACCGTGAATTACAGAGGTCCTCACTTCATTTGCCTCATCACCAACTGAGGGTCTAGTGAGATCACTGGCCGACTGACTATCAGTTTGTTTGTCCATCCCCTGTTCTGCTGTTAAGTAATCTAAATCTGATTGAGCCATTGCAGATTTTGTGGTAGTTTGCGTCACCTCAGAATCCACTTTTTCATCAGGCAGTACCTTCTCAGTATCAGCCTCTGTCACTTTAGGAATCTTGGACTTCTTGTTCTTCTTTCTTCGCTTGCTTTGCAGAGTTTCTTTGGACTGGACTGATGGAGCAGTATTAATATCTCCTTCTCCAAAACTGCTGCCCTCCTCTCCCTTAGTTGAAGAAGCTTCACAAAGTTGGGTATCCTCCTTGCCAAAAATGTTCTCTACCGTCTTATCCTCTGTGATCATCTTCTCTTCTGCACTCTCGTTTGGTGAACCATTGGTTCTCTTGACACCATCATCTCCGACACCATGACTCTCCACTAAATCAGCTTTAGTTGGTTGAGTTTGTGACTTTACAGTCTTTCCTTTACTCCCCACCTCCTTGCGTAGTGCCTGCAGCTCCTCGGCAGCCTGCTTTTCACTCACTCCTTTTTCAAACACCTTTTTAAGAATGCTCTCTTTGGCTTTCATTAGCAAGGCTGCTTTCTCGTTGTTTGGTAGAGTAGATTTCTGCGGCAATTCTTGCTCCTTTCCTTTCTTGACCTCCTGACTGCTCTCTGGTTGTTCTGGTTGCTGAGAGACTGACACCCTATTTTCAACTTTTTCTTTCTGCCCCTCCCTTTTACTCTCCTCTTTCATATCAGCCTTTTCTGCACCCTTTGATAATGTATTTTTTAATGTATCCTTCTCTGCCTCAATAGTATTTTCTGTGAATTGTTGAGTGGCTGGAACTGATTCCTGTTCCTGTTTAACCAAATCCTTTTCAGATGCAATCTTTTCACCTATCTTTGATTCACTTTCTACATTGGAAGGCCCAGTAGAATCTGACGGACCATGAATCTTTGATTTCTCACATTTGTCTTGTGTTGCAAGCTTATCTGAGACAATTTCAGCGGTCTCAGGACGCCCTTGAATATGTGTATCATCTTGATGAATTTGAGAAGACTGTTTTATCTCTTGAGCGTGTGTTTCTCTCTCTGCTTCTTTACCCTTTCCATTCTTTTTATTCTTCCTCTTTTTCTTGCTTTTGCTTTCTGTGTCTTTGGATGGAGAGGTCAACTGGTCTGACTGCTCAGCATCAGCGCTGCCTTCCATGTCTACTGGTTTGTCTTTCTCTACTTGTTTAACCTTCTTATCCACAACTTCATCTCTCTTTATCGCCACACCACTCTTTCTGTAATCCTCTTCACTCAATGTTGATACTTCAATGACATCTTTGCTTTCCCTGTTATCTCTAACCTCTGCTGCCAGGTTTCCATCTTCAGAATCACGATTAATCATTGATGTGCTCTCATCATTGGGTCTACTCTTCTTTTCCCCTACTTTCACAGGTTCACCATCTGACTTTGAAACAGCAGCTCCTTTTATGACCTCTGCCCGTGAGTTTTTGTCAATATCACGGTCATGTGCCTGAATGGTTTCAACAGAATCTCTACAAATGTTTTCCTTTTGTTTATCACGAGTCTCACTCGCACCTATTTGCATACTTCTCTGATTAGGAAGAGGCTTTGATTGTTTGATGTTTGTCTGTGGTACAATCTCTTCTATGGCTTCCTGTATTCTTTTCTCAACATTAGTTGCAAACTTACACAAGAGGTCTATGGATTGGTCTGGCTCAATTGAAGCCGCTTCTTCCACAGACACTGGCACTTTTTCTTCTTCTGTAGAAGGTTGGTTAAGCAGTGACTGATCTGGTACTACAGATGTGAATGTCTTTCCATTGTCCTGTGTAATTCCTAAACCTTGCTTTGAAAATTGAGATTTTGAAGGGGCCTCAGTATTTACGCACAACCAATTTGCTGGACTATCAGGGCTTGACACTGACAATATAACAGCAGGGCTGTATGCACCACTTGATGAGGTAACAGGTGTATCGCTACCTTCATTACCCTTGAGTGCAAAAGAAGCCTGAATCTCTGAAGCTACGTCATTAGGTATCAGTCGTTTCGCAATGGCCTCGTTGAGAGAAGAGACGCGTTGTCCAGTTGCAGGATCAACCAAGCCTCCTTTCAAAAACTGGTTGGTGGCAATTGTTCTGACCATACTGTCTTCAATTAAACCTCTTTCACAGGCTTCATATAGGGGAAGTCTATCTCCAGTTCTGATATCAATGATCCCTCCACTGTCTGCCTGGCTTTGAAGCAGCCTCAATGCTGGAACCGGATCAACTTTTCTTGATGCAACGGCCTCAGGAAGGGTCAAGCTGTCTCCTGTTTCCTCATCTGGAACACCTCTGAATGGTTTCACCTCCAAGAAACGTTTGCCTGTTTCAATATCTATTTTACCCTGTTTTACAAGCTCTGAATAAGGCACAATGCGTGCAGTTTCAGGGTCAAGCACCCCTTGTGCTACAGCAGGAGAAGCCATGGTTTCACTAGCAATATTCTCATCTAAAAGACCCATAGAAACAGCCTCTGTCAATGTCAGTTTACATCCAGACTCGGGGTCTAAAATGGCTCCTGTTGATGCCTGGAAAAGTACAGCTTCTGGGTGGGATGAAGGGCTGACTTTTCCTTGGTAGACCCACTCTAGTTCTTCCAGCCCAGGAGCAATGGACCGATCCACTAAACCTCTATCTACAGCATCAGGGACTGAAAGCCTCACACCTGAAGCATGATGTATTACACCACCCTCAGCCACCTGCCTTGCCAACACTTGATAAACATCCTCAGATCTAATTAACCCTTTCTGGATTGCCTGCTCGAGAGGCACTGGAGACTTGGACTCTGGGTCAATAATACCTTCCATCTGTAGCTGTAAACTGGCTTTAGTAAGGGTTTTTGATGAATCTGAACCCTTTCCTTTGTAAGCCTTCTCTAGTGCAACCAGTTCTTCTCTTTGGCCCTCCTCAATCAATCCCAGTTTTGCTGCTAGAGTGACAGAGACTTTCTTATCCCTACGAAGGTCAACAATCCCTCCAGACGCCACCTGGGCTTCGAGAAGTCGAGCAGCGGTGTTGGGGTCAATCAGCCCTACTTGAGCAGCCTCGCTTACCCCGCAGATCTGCCTTTTTTCTACATCCACAACCCCTGAAAGGGTCTTATCTGACTTCAGGACACTCCACATTAGATCTTCATCTAGTAAACCCTCCTGCATGACATCATCCATGCTAAGTGACTCACAGCTGCTAGCATCTAGAAAACCTCCAAACAGACCTGCCTGCGCCATTAATTTAACTGCTGTGTGACCAGGAAGGACACCCTGTGCTACTGCCTCATCTGGGAGAAGCTTTTCCCCTTCCTCTGTCATCAGACCTCCCTGTTTGAGCTGGAGGACTAACTTTGCCAATTCAGCATCCTCCCCTTCCATCTCCCCTGCTGAATCTTTATCAAACTCTTTAGCATGCTTTGAGTCAGTTGCTTTTTTAGGAATTGTTATATGTAGTTTAATCCCTTCTGATTCAGTCTGGGAATATGTTATATCTTTCTCATAGTCAGATTGTTTTGGTTTAACATCTTGATTTGTTTTTGCTCCCGGTTGGATTTGTTCTTTCAATGTTTTGAGTGGTTCTGTAGCTGTTTTTCTAGCTACTGTTGAGGATGTACTAGTCTTTTGATCATCCGTATCCCTTGGTTTGAACACCATTGCTTCAAGCTCATTTGGACCTTTAATATTTTTAGCTGAAGCCATCAAAGCTTCATGATCAGACATTTCTTTCTTTTGAGCTTTTGCATTTGTATCTACACGCTTTTCATTTGTTGCTGCTAAACCACTCCCATCCACAACTGGTGGTTTGTGGAGCAATTTATTGTCATTCTTTCCATTATACCTTTCTTCTAGACTTCCTGTACTAATTATCACAGCTTTTTCGTTCTTCACTACATCAGAACTTCCCTCTTCAAACTTGTGTTTCAAACTCCCCCCTTTATCTGCTGAACTGAACTTACTCTCCATTTGCAGCTCCCCAGTCTCATCTGTGGTCAACGTGCTTTGTGGCTTAACTGTACTTTCATATACAGAGTCTCCAGCAACCAGTTGAGTAGCTTTGACCAACTCTACCAACTCAGGGTCAAGCAGCACCAATCGATTTCCAGAATGGGCATCCACATAGCTGTGCGTCATAAGGTGAAGCAGAAGATTTTGTTTTGCTTGCTCTTCAGGATTCATTCCATGTTTAAGTGCTGTTTCCAAGTAAACACCTGAAGGAGAGGTTGAAGGTGTTGGAGATGATGGAGGTGGAGAGGAGCGTGTGGAACCCCAGCTCAAGCGGTTTAGAGATGGGGTACCCGACTGGTTCATGCTCGAAAGAACATCTGGGATGTGGATGTCCTTGAGAAAACTGACCACACTTGGCTCAAGGACCTCTTCAGCAGCCTGATTTAGGGGAAGGACCTGGAGGTTTTCAGGGTTGTACAAGGCCCCAATGGCATGTCGCTTCCTTAAGATGTTTCTAGAAAGCTCTCCTGAGATAACTCCTTGTTGAATAGCTTCAACAATTGGCAGGATTTCTCCAGATTCAGGCCTGAGTATACCCATGAAAGCCCAAAGAGACTCGAGGACTAATAGAGCCAAGCGAGGAGAGAGTAGATCCCTGTGAATGCTCTCTTCCAAGCTCAGCCGTTCTCCATTGTAAGGGTCTAGAATTCCCCCATTTTGCAACTGGCGTGCTAACATGGCACAGGCTAGATCCTGGTCCATAAGCCCATGGCGAACCGCCTCATCAATTGTCATCCTGTGGCCAGATCGTGGGTCAGAAATACCACCGGCAAGGAGTTGAGCTTCAAGAAGTCGTACGGTTACTTTCCGATCAATCAGACCTTCCTGGACTGCACGGAATATGCCAACTTTTCTTCCAGTCTGGAGGCAAACAGTTCCTCCGGGTTGCTGTTTGACAGGGAGTAGAAGGAGACCAGGGTGGTCATCACAGACACAGCGCTGTTGAAGCTCATTCAGATTTAATTGTTCTGCTGTGTTTGGATCGATCAGCTCTTTATTATGTTGCCTTGACTGGAGTTTGGAAAGGGTTCTAGAAGTCAAAAGTCTCTTTTCGTCCGCTTGCTCCAAACTCATGAGATCTCCGACTGAGTTTCTCAGGCCTCCAGTGTTTAACTGGAGTTCTAAAATGCGAAGTCCCACATCCTCTCTGATGAGCCCAAACTCGATGGCTGTGGCTACTGGCAACACAATTTGTGTTCGGTCATCTGTAGACTTAGTATTTTCCACCAACAGCAAGGCAGTTTCTAGCTCAGAAAGGGATTGTCTATAATGGGTGTCAATTAGACCTTGAGCTAGACCTTGTTCCAGTGAAAGATTGAGAGGGCAGTCAGGCTTAAGGAGCCCACCCATAATGAGCTGGGCCTCCAGCAGTACATGGCAGGTGTCCTGGTCAATAAGGCCTCGTTGGGCTGCTTTGAACACTGGGAATGTTTGCACTGTTCCCAAGTCAATAACTCCAGCAATGGCACTCTGGTTCTAAAAAAATAAAGAAAAACGGAATTCGAGTTGACATTCATTCTTCTATGAGCAATGTGTTATGACAACTTAAGACAGCCTATGTACTATATTATGTTACAAGGTTATTATACAGAATTACATTATATATTATGAAGAGAATTAGATGGTAGAATCAGAAAAAGTAAGAAAACCCACAACCATTTGCCACAAAAGCATAAAAAAGGATAAATTATGTATATGTGGCAAGATACTTATAAGTACATCTTACAGGAATCTGAATGATTTTCCCAGTATTTGCATATCTTTTTTATATTAAGAAGCGCTCTAATACTTACCACTGCTATTCTAACACAAGCACTAAGCATGCAACAAAGCAACTAGAAACAAAAAAGGCAAAAATACAGCAATATTCAGAAGTACAGTAGAATAGAATTGTGAAAAAAACGTACATGCAACGGTAAGAGAGAAAGCGAGCACTACTTACTGTGAGGGCTTGTCCCGTGGCACACACATTAATGGGCCAGCTTATGACTCGGCAGAGCGAGGCGCGACAGGTGAGAAGCTGGTTGTTAGCATTCGGCATGCCACTCTTCATTATGACTCCTATCACTGCACTGACACTAAAACCTCCTGATGACTTTAATTTTGACGAGAAAAGCCTCAAAAGAAATAATTATGGCACATTGGAACTGACAAAGGCCAAATTGTCTATATGACAATATATCCCAACAAACACAATTTGGAATGTATGTTTTCCTCTTCAGTTGCACAGATGCTTGATACTGTTATTGGAATTAAACGATGAATCACATTAGATTGTGCTGTAACTACACAGATTATGGTGTGATTTAACGTAACTGAAAAGTAAACTGATCTGCAGATTAAGCGTGTTTATAAATGTCTGGCTTTCTTTTCCACATCTCATTCTGATCCTTGGCTGAGACCTCAGACGTCGACACTTCCCTTTCGGCTGCTGTTAGTGGTTTTTAAGCAAAATGCTGGTTGAAAGTTTCACACATTAATAATATGCATTAGAACAAACACAAAAAATCTCATTCACACACACACACACTTGTGATCTGGACACAACATGCTCAAATGGTGAAGGTTTTTTTTTGCATAGCTGGCCTCTGGTGCGCTTACACTGTAAAGTGATTTTTGTTTGTGAGTATTTTGTATCACATACATGTTCCCTGTAAAAACAACGTTCACATAATCCATTATAAGGTGCAGCTGTCAGGACATATGAATCATCATCATTGGATTGCTTGAAACCTGAAATTCTCACACACATTTAAACCTTTTTTGACCGATGTTGGATGCAACACATTAAATAAACCAGGAGAGAAAGCTTTTTTGACAAACTGAAAACTGACTGGGGATGTGTGATTGATTTGACTGTACATGCTGGTAAAAATAAATACTAAAATGTAATGCTTTTACTTTATGAAGTGGCATAATTTAACCACAACATAAAGAAAAGTAGCATGATACTATGTTGAGGCTAAAGAAATGTAAGGGAAACATAAAGGTGCGTCTCATTTCTAACCAAAACAATTCTAATGATGGATCTGCAAAAAGCGGAGATCTACAGCTTCTAGCTAACTGCTAGCATGACTTGGCAGCACTGCTCCAGTGCGGCACCAGTGAGGCCATGTATTAACCATGTTAGCAGTTCAGCAGATGGGTTTTCTGATGATAATGACGATGATGATGATGATGAAGATGACAAAAACTGGGGTGGTATAGGACAGGTAATGAAATGACTGCAGGCTTTTAAGAGAGCGAAACACTCCATGCTAAGGCCCAATTCAGACAGTGCTATCCAGTGAATTTTATTTCTTTATGTATTCTTTTTATATCTACTCCTTGATGACGAAAAAAGAGGTCAAACTAAAGTGCCAGAAATATAAATGACTATTTATAATCATCTGAATACACGTCTGAAAAGGGTCTGTGATGTATGTTAAACCAAACCAAGTCAATGAGTGAGATTCGTCAATAGTGGTGATGTTTTTCAAAATGCTCAGTGAACACACAACATGCTGTACGACACACACACTCTTGCTGGCCCACAGTTGAACTCGCGCTTAGCTTGCAAGCATATTCACATTTACATTTTGAAAAGCTTGCGAAACCCTTGAAAAGAACATTATTGTCACAAATCGGCAGTCGAACTTGGCCCGTCCCTCCAACCAATTTACCTTTCTTTCCTCCTCTTTGGCCAGTTGCTGCTCCAGCTGCTGCAGCTGCTGGGTGGAGCTGGTGCACAGCTGGTTGTAGGTGGACGTCAGCTCGTCCAGCTGAGCCTCCACATGAGCGCACTCCTCTGGGGACAGCCTGGAGAGCACACAGGGGGGAGGTTAGAGCGTGTGGGATTTAGGTGTTTATTGTGTGACGGTGTGAAGATTTCACACAGTATCTTTGACAAATATTTCATTATGTTTTTTCTAGAAACACAAATGTGTAGGAACTTTTGTAAGTGAAATCCTTGTAAAAGAAACTCTAGATAATCTGAAACCTGAAATTTGGTTAAAAAAAATAAGCAGTCCAGTCCATAAATATTACTGTAAACAACTTTATATTCCCCAGTTTCCCTTGATCCTTCATTTAAGTCCTAACATTTACCAAACTTGAATACAAATATCAAGGGTCTGACATCTTAATTCAGAATTTCCATGACAGGCAGCTAACTGAGTATGCACTGTTGGGATAGTTTGTGAGTGTCCATGTGTTTTGCTAGATTGAAGGACACGGGGAATGTCAAACAGTATGTGAAGTGAATGAGTTGTCGGTGCAATGTGTGTGTCCATGTGTGTGATCCAAACTTACTTGCTGGCCTGTTTTGACAGCAGGAAGACCTGAGTGCTCCTTATGGCTTCTGCCACTTCATCTTTCTTGGCTGCCAGCTGTTCACTGATGGCCTTCAGAAGAACACAAAGGCAATGATGCACTTAGTACAAAACAACTTCAAATCAAGTTTTATTTATATAGCACATTTTTAAACGATTTTTGGTCGAGCCAAAGTGCTCTTGGATCAACTGCCATTTTAACATGTAAGTTAAACAGCAAAATATATTGTATTAACAAGGAAACACTATCCTTTCAACTTATTTACTAAAAGGCTTTGTTGGATAATGAATTCTGAAATGAAATGAATATAATGCATAAATGATTGATTTCTTTAGTAAGGAGCGTTGTAATAACCAGGATAATGCCAGTCTTCATTGCTAAATGAACCCAGCAGGTGTCCTGCTCACCGTGCGGGGAATCATTATGCGTTGGCTCGCAAAAATGCTAATTGTCTGAAGAATAATGTGTATAATATATGATAACAAGATGATAAAAATGAACAAGCTTATCGGTGTACCTGCTGAGCAGCAAGTGAGGACTCGGCGTTGGGGCCCCCGGCCCGTCCCTGGAGGCCCTTGACAAAGCCCAGCAGGTCGGAAACCTGCCCAACCCTCGCCTGCTTCTCCTCCTCCACCTCTTTCTGCACAGAATAAAAACATTTACTTACAAGATAAATAATGGAACTTTTTTTTCCTGTCACTATTAAACAGAAATTATTGTTGTTTTAAAGCTTCAGTGATTTCATATGACAAACAAGCAAGAGAGGGAGATATAGTGAACCAAAGTCCCACCTCTTCTTCTTCTATTCTTCTCAAAGCATCGCTGATGTACTTCACATGCTGCGTTGTCAAGGTGACCAAGGCTGTGTAACGTGTGCGCAAGTCCATGAACTGCAGAGAAACATCCAGAAACAATTACAAGAGATCTGTGATGGACTGGATACGATTCATTGTCCTAATATTCAATAATGTAGCCATATCAATAACATCTGAACGTCCAGCCTCACCTCATGTGTGATGGCGTCAGATGAAGAGTGCATCCTCCTCCTCTTCACAGGGGATTTTTGTGTAGATTCTACAAAGGCTCTGTAGGTCATCAGCTGCAGCTCATAATCCTACAGACATGGTGGGACACGAGTCAGTAAAATAGTGGCTAGGCAACCATCATTTACTAGAGAAAGTGTAACATTGCTTAAAATACATATAACTTTTTATCTATTCACGCATTTCATTCTTGTAGACAACAGTGAAGTGAAGGAAAAACTAGGAAACTCATTTTTTTTATCAATTATATAAAAAATAAGGCAAACATATATATATTAAAAAAAAATACTTGAAATAAAAATAACATATTTCAATATTTTGTAAAGTGACACACTGTATGAAACACAAACAGAAAGAGTCTCTTACCTTCACTGAGGTGCAGTACTGTTTGGAGTGAGTCTGGCACTCGTCTAGTTTGGTCTGGTTCTGTTCAATCTCAGCTACTAATGCCTAAAGAAGCCAAAACAAATCATGACATTTATACAAGACTGTTGGGTACAATGTGTCAGTTTTAAAAGTAATCAGTGGTACTGACCGTCTGCTGGGCCAGCTGTTCTGACAGCGCCTTGCTGTCCGTCTGTCCAGGTTGGGTGTTTTCTTGTCTCTTTGTCGTTTCTTCGATCCAGTTGATGAGAGCAGAGTGTCCGTCTCTGTACTGCTGCAGGGCCGAGCCCACTGACTCTAGATCTGTCCGTCTGCAATGAGAACACATGGATTGTCAGAAAATGTAACACACAGACATGTTTATTCTACATATAAATATAAGCTTTTGTTCCGTTATCTCAATGTTTCTAAATATTTACTGATAGTTATACTTGGTAGTGATGGGAGGATTTTGTTTGTAGATAAAAAAACACTAAATAAGTTGTTCCTGGTGAATTTGCATTATTAGGATAATTGTAAATATTCACAAGTACTTACAATAAGATGTCTAGCTTGCTATCACGGTAGAAACTTTTTTTATCCTGAATGTATACATGGGGAACTTATGATTTATGATGACTCTATTTAAGATTGTTTGATTGGTTGTTGATGAATTTCAGATTTGTGTATCTGTGAAGCAATACAAATATTAGTTTCTTACCAAATGTCAGGTAAAGTCATTTCAGTATGTTTTTCTTTTCACATTTTAAGAGTCAGAAACAAGTTTGGATAATTATTTTCAAGAATATTTAGTACATCACAATGATTTTGGACCAGATTATCCTGACAGGAATCAGCATTTGCATTGTACAGGCTCATACATCCTTTCAAGATTCAAAAAGGTTGTCATGATACAAGCCTAACAAAATTCGATTTCAATCTTTCAATTCTCCTCCTTTTACCCTTCTCATCCCCTAATCGTTTCCTTTCCCCCCACATCTTCCCTCTGTCTTGCCCACCGTGTGTCCATCTGCCTCTTGACTCCGCTCCACCTGTCTGCCATCTGATTGGCTCTCTCCTGGAGGCGCTCCAGCTCGGGGCTGCGGTCCGGGTGCAGCTTGCTGAGCTGAGACGCAGCTTCTTTGGCGCAGGCGACCTCCGACTGCAGGGACTGGAAGACGCCCTCCTGATCCACCAGATCAGCCTGACACTTCTGGAGTGAGGAATCAGGAGAAGGACGCAGATCAACGGTTAGAGTCAGTCTCACAACACGAGCCTTAAGGGGAGTCTATGCAATATTATGTGTCGCTTACCCCTAGTTGCTCTCTGAGGTTTTTAATGGCCGTTGTGTCTGCAGGAACGATGTCCTCTTCACTTAGTCTGCTCTCGTTCTTCCTGACCTGGCTCTCTGCTTCATCCAGGCTACGCATCAGGACCTCTACAGTTTTCAGCCTGAGGAGAGAAAAACATTTTAGAAGTGAAACATTAGTGGGCTTTTTTGAGTGAACCAATTAACAGAAGAAGGAAGGGCTCACTTACTTTTCTAGGTATACAGAGGAGAGGTTGTGCAGTCTGTCTGTCTTCTCCACGGCCTGATTGAGTTCAGCCCGGAGGACGGGGATGCTGGAGGACGTCGGCTTCTCCTCGAAGAAACTGATGCAGCGCCGGGACACATCGCCCAAACTAGAGCGCATGGCGTCCAACTCCGACTGCAGATTCTGGACAAAAATGGGGTTTTAGAGCAAAATTAGGTGGGAGGTATGTCTTACACAGTACAGTCTAATAGGTAGATGGAGTCAAACAATGCTCCAGTTGTGGTGCAGCCTTTTTCTTTAAAGTTTCCTTTGTTTCAATGTTTATTTCAAACTAGGGAAGCCGTGGGAGATGATTGATCAAATAAAAATTAAATGTGGTGAGTATAAGTCAGACGTAAATTACTTTCTGAAAATGACTGAATAATACTTTTGAAAAGAGCCATGGTCATTTGTTTTGACATTTGTTTTGACATTTTCAAAACTTTATTTATCCAGCCATTTTCATAAGAAAAATGAATTGTAAAAAAGATTGTAAAATGAAAACAATACATTCTCAGCTGTTTGTTTCACAGATAGAAAACAAAGACATTCAGGAAATAAAATGAAAAATTACCATGGTACCTTTTTTCTCTATCTGTTATCCTTAATTCATCAACAAAGAGATACAACTATTTAGATCAGACTTAGAACCATTCTCAACCGCCTACAGGCCTCAGTAGAACTCTCTACACCATGTTTAAAATACTTTATTAAACATTAACTTATTCAATATCATCATCATCCTATTGTTCTTGCCCGTTGCAGCCAGCAGAGGGGGCTCACACTGACCTCCTGCTCTGCTATCTGCACAGTGTAGTCACCGCTGTCCCCTGACAGCCGGCTGGGGGGCGGGGTCTGAATCCCCCTCATCAGTTTGTGCTCTGCGTCGTTCAGCCGGAGGGTGATGTTCTGCAGCTCCGACAGGTAGGACCGAGAGACCGACTCGTCCTTCTCCACTGAGGGAGAGAAGAGAAGAAGGAAGAGTTCATTTGGGCATGAGTAGACACACTGCAGCCATTTGCTTTAACAAATACCAGAGTAAAGTATGTTATGCGTGCACTGAACTTGAGTAAATGTATGTATTAGTCTCACCGGTCTCCATGTTGAGCAGCAGGTCCTGGCAGTGCGTCTGGGCCTGCTGGACCTCCTTCTCCAGCTCTCGTCTTTCTCCTGCCGTGAACAAGATGCTCTCTTTGCTGTCAGACAGGAAGTCTGACATCTGGGACTCCAGGTGATCCAGGACCTGCTGCCGCTCTGAAGGAGACTGACAACGCACCTGACAGGCGAAACACAGAGGGGTAACGTGAGTACGGCTAACAAGGACATTAGGAGAAAAGACAACAAAACCCCAGGGTAAAGGAGCCTCACCGTGTCCAGGTTCCATCCGGAGACGGTCCGGATGTCTTTGAGCAGGTAGTGCCAGGACACCACGCTCTTCATGTTCACATGCAGCTGATGCCACAGAGACATGACCTTCTGGTACAGCTGCTCTGCCCTGCACACACAAACACACACCAGGTTTGAGACATTTTCAGTTTTTGATTCTAAATTGAGGTGAAAACTGTTCTGAAAAAGGGACTTACTGTACAAATGACCAGCTAAACACTGTTCTATGTGAAAAGGGCCTGGAGTAATACTTCATGAAAGCATCTGTGGTCAGTTTTATATTGAAAATAAATGTTTTGTTGCAGAGTCCTGAGTTTTTGTTTTAATGTACTTATTTTGTTGAGTCTGTGTTTTGTACCGTCTCTTGTGTATTTGTTGTTGAGTTTTATATATATATTTTTTTTTAAAGGCCCATCTGGGGACTGGTTTTGCACATTTAAATGGCTAATGCTGTACAGTCAATGCTGCAGTGTGTGGCTTTTTGTATAAACTGGCATCGAGTGGTTTGGTGTTTGAGATTTTGTGTGTTTTAAAGGTCTGTTGTGGTTATCTTGTTCTTTGAAAGTTGCTTTACTAAATAAACGTTATAATTACTTAGTTGCTACATACTGTACCTGTTCATGTACAAAAAACATTACATAAATAAACTTATCTTAAGCCATTTGTTGACAAAATGAAACCACGTCAATGATTTCAAACTGCCCAGGTTATTTCGTTTTATTTGCATTTTTTAGGAAAATGGTTGATTATTTGACCTGAAAACACTTTTTTATTTCTGGAGGTAATGTGAATGGCACGAAGGAACATGGTCCCTACCATTTCATTTAGTTCCCCATGAAATCCTTTTAGCTACTGACCAAAACCATCCGTAACTCATCCCCAACCTACTTCCACAACAACCCTTTGATGTGCTCCATGTTCTGCTTCGCGCTGTGTCTCACCTGCTGGCTGTGTCCATGGCCTCCTGGTTGGGGGGGTGGGACGGTGAAACACACCGAGGGGACCATGGCCTCGTTCCCCGTCGTACTGATCACCTTCCACTTGGTCCTCTGGGAGTTGTCCTCCAGCACACACTCCTCTCCCCGGGTGATTGTGATCTGAGAGGAGGAAGGGGTTCAGGATGGATAGAAACAGGAAAGAGAGAGGGATAGATAAAGGAAGAGGGAAAGAGGGATGGAGGTAATGGAATGACGGATGTTAGGAGTAAAGAGGAATAGATGGAGAGCATGAATTTGAAAGATTGTAAAATATTGATGGTTAGAAAGAATGATGACGGAGGTAAGACGACAAAATGGACGGAGGAGAGGTGAAATGAAAAAGAGGAGGAGAGAGAAGAGAAGTGAAAACATGTAAACCAAAAAGCTGGTAGCAACAAACTCATAATGCAACACAAAATGCAAACATTCATGGATTTCATGAAGTTAGCAGAAGCCCAAAAATGATATGGCAAAGAGACCTTTGACACGTGTGGAGCGAAAGCTTCTTTAAAACTCTTAAGTGAAAGCTTTTATTTTGAAATATTCTTCAAAGTGAGGTTTAATTATCCCTGGGCTGGGTTTCATGAAGTCACTAACAAGGGAGGACACATTACTGAAACCCAGCCCAGGGCACAAACACAGAGCTTGGGATTGGAATTGTAGTGTTCGTAGTGCAAGGCAAAGCAATTATTGTGGGCAGAGTTTAAGGGACACACAGGAAGGCTACTCCCACCCACCACCCTCTCTCACCCCTTCCCTGCACACACACAGCATTGATACATCAATAATGCAAAGCTAGGCACACACAGGAAATACATGGAATGTACATTTAAGCACAAAGCTGTGACTTGTTACCGTCTGACTGACGGAATGAGCCTCAAAAGGCACATTTTAATTCAGTTCAGCTCACTGATGCCACCTGCCCTTATCACTGATGACAGTCCTGTGGCTGGGTGTCAACTGATCAACTCTCACCTTTCATCTTTTGTATGAGAGTATGAGTATGTTCAAGAGGAGGGTAAGCAAGTAGAGGACACGCACAAAGATGAAACAATGTTTTTGTGTCTGCCTCCTATCTCTAAAGTCTAATTTCCTTTGTATTTTATATATTTTGATTCATTGCAATGCATTCAAATGCTCATATGATACTCTTTAACATGACAGAAACATTTTAAGTATGCCCAAACACATAGTTTATTAAATGCAGAAGGCCAAACAAGACATACTGCATTCTCTTTCAATCTGCTACGCAAGCTAGCATGCTTTTCTGGCAATTCTGAGCCACAATTCTGTGCACAAGCGCAGACAGATTGTGACGATTGTGGTCCAAATTGCAGACTTTTTCATTTGACTTTAAAGGACACGCTAAAGATTTCATGTGGATACAGAGCAAAGTAGTATGCATATTGTGTGTAATAGTACATACTCTTTGAGGCAGCTGCAGTACGCACTTAAGTAAAGAAGAAAAAGTGTTTAGGCACAATTTGGAATGCAGCCATTGTCTTTGGTTTTTGGCCCTATTTTTTTAACTTTTCCTGTTGCCACAATTCTGGTTTATAGCACCAATAAGACACAACAAGTGTGCAACACAAATTTCATCCATGTGGTTAATTTTGTGTCATTAGATATCTAAAATAACCACAATTCAACATATTAAACAAATGCAGTCTAGACTAGGCCCCATATTTATTTTCTAATTGTTGTTTGAAGGTAAAAAAAAAAAGATCCATGAATGACAGCTTCAAGGACACCTAAATATATAATATTCCTATACACCTAAAAGCAGGTGTCAAACTCACAGTGACCTCATGTCACATTACTGACAGCTCAACTTGACATCAGCTGATAAGAGAGGAGCATCAGGGCAGTGCGGTGTGTGAGCAGTGTTAATCGGAGGTGAGAGAGGGAGAATAGAGGCAGCTATACCTGAACGTTTGTCTGGTCAGCCCAGCCGACAGACGAGAGGATGAGGAAGGAGGAGGAGGAGGAGGAGGGAGTGAGGTAGGAAAGGTAAAACAAGGTACATGAGGGAATGGAGAGAGAGGAGGAGACACAGGAAAGTGAAGGAGAGAAAGATTACTTTGTGCACACTGCTTTTCTTTAGTAGAACTTTCAGCTCTGTTGCATCATCCATTTTAAGATCAGTGATGCAGGACCAAACCCCCCCCCCCCCCCCTCCTTCACCTGGATATAACACCTCACATACAGTATGCTCCAATTAACTAATTGACCCGGAGGACTCCAGCTATAAATAGCAGCATAAGGAGTGCAGCATGTCCATGTTTGCTGGGTGCTAGGTGCTGCTTTTCAAAGGAGTCCGCAAAGGGGATGAGACAGATTTATAATTCATCGCATTTTAGATTCCCTGAGGGCATCACAGCTGAGAGTGAGAGGCTGGTCTATGTGTGGTATGTAGAAAGAATCATTGCACAACTTCAGTTTTCTTCTCGTGTATCATCTTTTTAGCTTACATGTGGCGATTTTTGGCTTTTCACTAAGATTCAGTTGAACATTTATTGTGAAGACTCAATTCAATCTGGATTATAATCATTAAGCCCCTTTAGATTGCAAAGTGAGCACTGGTCTTTTTACTCGCCAGTTAAAATGGAGTGAAAACTATTTTCAAAAAAACATTGCTGTAGTCTTTTCATTAATATGGACCCCCTAGGCTGAGAACATAATATGTGTAGAAGTGCTCATTAATCTGACGACAAGGAAACAAGTAAATGTCACAGCATGAAGGAAGGAGCTCAAATAGAACAGTTATAAAGTGGATGTGGAAGGGGGCTCGGAGAGGAGGTGCAGGGTGGGTAATGCAGGTTAAAACAACAGAGTGGGTGGGGTAAATGGAGAGCTGCTTTTTATATACACAGTTTGTCTCAACACCTCCTGGAAGAAAAGGGAAATCAAGCTTCTACGATTTGTTTTGGGTTATCAGTATGACAAACGTACAGCAACCGAAACACACGCACATGTGGATGAGGTGTAATATCTGGAGGCTGCCATACCTCTATCTGCCTGTAGTCGCAGACGGCTCTGATGGGGGTCGTGGCCCCCAGGGTGCTCTCTGCGTTGCGGGGCCGGAGCTGCACCAGGGTCTTGGCGCGGCCCACCAGGCTGGCCACCGTGCTGCGGTACTCGATCAGCTGCTCCTTCTCCTCCTGCAGGACAGAGGACATCATCTGTCAATCACTTCCTGTAGTATTCAGTTACGATGGATCATTTGACCGATCCTTTTCAAAGGGTTGATAGTCCATCCATCATTTTGTGAGTAAGTTAGTAATCAATGGCAGTTTAATTCATCAGGCTGTGAGCCCCATTATCAATCACTGTAACTGGTTTAGCTTGATTTGATAGATAACCAATATAGTATAGTTAGATGTTGAAGTTGAAACTATATTCCCTGAACGGCTAACGGAAGCCATGAGAGGTTATCCTTTGTTTTAGGTCTGGTTTAAAGTGTTTTCTCTATTGTGTTTATGAAATAAAAACATGTGCAAAAAGAGTGTGTGTTTGTTGTTGTAACACTCCTGTTGGCCACAAGAGGCTTACATGCAGAAATACCCCATGTTCTATATAGGACTAAATCCATTTGTGTTGACCTGATGATGGCGCTTGATGAAAGGTTCATGGATAACCAACATTATTGCAATCCATTTGAAAAGGTATTCATTTTTGTACAAAATGTCATGAAACCCCAACGAATATTTCTCAAGGCATTTTACAAACAAAACAAAATAAGGAACCAAAAGAAAAGTATCATCAAAAATATTAAGATTCATCTTCTAAGGACCATGACAACATGGCATCTATTGCACGTCTGTCCGTCCTGGGAGAGGGATCCCTCCTCTGATGCTCTCCCTGAGGTTTCTCCCATTTCCCCTTTAAACTGTGGGTTTTTCTCTGGAAGTTTTTCCTTGTACGATGTGAGGGTCTAAGGACAGAGGGTGTCGTATTGTCATACTGATATTCTGTACAAACTTTGAAGTCCACTGAGACAAATGTAACATTTGTGATATTGGGCTATATAAATAAACATTGATTGATTGATTGATGTATAGAAATCAATCCGACATTGCTATACTCAACTAATTACTGTATATCTTCTAATAATTATTATGCATTTTTCAACACAATAACCTGCCAGTATTAAATCAAACACATTAAGCCAATCTTTTCTGTTAAAATATAGTGCATGGTCTCCAAATATTGTTAAGCATATTAGCGAGTTGCCCCTGAGAGGAGTGGACTTGCTGATTCAGAAGCTTGTGTTAGCTTGGGCGCTAACCATAAGAGATGTACAAGGTGTGCTCTTCTTCACCCTGACCCAGCAGAGAGGCATTAAGGATTCATTATAGAGAGACCAACAGAGAGACAGGTAGGGAGGTGTGGACAGAAAGAGAGGAATTGAGGGAGGCCTGTGTAAATAACTTATACATTAGATATACAAACTGAATGTATCACTTAGATGGCAGTTGCTGCAGTCAGCTCTACTGTGACAAGTCAAATGACAGGCTCAGAAGAAACAATTCATATAGAGATACATAACGGAAAGAATGTCAAATTCATTATCACCACAAGAACAAATTGACTAGCAGAGAAGCTTAAATTAAATGCTTATTATTACATTTGGATGGAATTTTGTTTCACCTCTCGTTGTTGACAGCAAGCGCTTATTAAATCGTATGTGAAGAAGTACTTTAATGTCATTAAACAAAAATAACAGGGTGCAAATAAAGGGTCCAATAAAAAGGGCAAACAGCATCACCTACATGTAAACCCTAATCTCTGCCTGAAAGGTATTGAACCAGCTGATTTAATATCCTCTCTGTTCCAGATATGATGAACGTCAAACAAAAGGTTCTGCTGTTTGTTTTCTGGTGTGATTCAGAAGCAGTGTTTAGGATTAGCTTCACCTTCACAGGGCGTAATGGAGCACAGGAAACTGATTAACACACAGATGTAAACACCATTAGATGGCATTTGGAAATAGACACATACTGCACCTAACAATGCTGGCTGCACACATGTCTGTGAAAAGAGCAGCTGCTTGTGACACACAAGCTCACTGCTCTGGCCTTGGAGCATTCTCCACACTAACTCTGCCATCTGCTTGAAGTCCAGTGTGTGTGTGTGTGCGTGTGCGTGTGTGTGTGTGTAAGGTGTGAAGGTGGCAGTCTCACAAATGTTCCACAGGGAGGTGACTCAGCGACTGCATTCTCTAACTCAGAGATAACTTCTCCCCATCATGTGGCTGCCTGAGGGCGAGCACGAGTCAGGAGGACAGCGGTGGGCCAACAGGACTTCTTTACTTTCATTTTTCATATACATGAATTTATAAAGTTTTAATACAGCCATATGACTCATGTTCAAGCCTCCATCCAGGATTATTTTGTATTTGTCATGTATAGGTTTGGGTTGTGCAGCATGGCTTCTAAACCTTCATTTACACAGTGAGCTTAACGCTAAACGAGGGGGGATGGACTACGGTATCCAAAATGCAAAGTACATTTTTTCTTCACTTGTCAGCTTTCGGCCATTGAGTATATACAGTCAAGTGCCTTGCTCGAGGGCAATGGCATTACTTAGAAAAGGTGTTCTGAGGGAGAATAATCAATGATCCAATATCATTGATAGAAACTAAGTAGGTCAGTATCAATACATCGTCATTAACGGTATTCAAATACGCCTTTATTTTTTAAATGTGTCACCTTTCCATCCAAGCACACTTCCTTTTTTGACATGTAAAAATGTCCTAAACATAAGAAATCTGGCATCCTAAAGTGAACAATGGGATGTCCATTTATTTATTCTTTCTAGTTAAAACAATAGATTGTTTATAGATACCATTGAGTCCTGCAGCAGGTCTTCCAGCTTGCTCAGTCTGCTGTTCTTGTCACAGGTGTACTGCCTCTTGATGGTTTCCTGCAGCTGGCGCAGGTACGACTCACAGTCCCGAGCATCACTCGTAAACTGACAAGAGACAGAACAATGTTAGAAGGATTTCCCCAGGAAGCTGCAGAGAACAGTATTTATTTAGTGAAATAGGAACCACAATGTAAAGACACAAATGAACAGACATGTAATTGTCTAAAAGAATGGTAAAGGGAGGACAAAGTCATGTGGATTTGGTGAAAGGAACTGTGAAATTGCAGGAGCAACATAACCATGCAGAATTTGCCGATCCACTTATATTTTGTAACTTAATAGTTCAGTTCCTACCCATTAGCCAAACTAATGATGACAAATAATGAGCCATAATAATGACATTTTGGAGGCTCACCTGGAAGTATGCTGTGTTGTCTTTGAGATGCGTCTCCACACACACACACAGCTGCTTCACCCACTGCCACTGAGTCTGCAGCGCTGCACTGTACGCCTGATCACATGCAGACAGAACAGCCAGTGTATTCATTACACATTATTAACAGGGATGTTTTCAGCACACATAATCACAGTTTTGTCTGTCCTGTATTCCCTTTATCTGTGCACTAATACGCTGTGTTGGAGAATACGCCATATCGATATATATTGCCCACTGCTCCTAGTACTAGGATGCAGAGGTCAAATTACACTGTGTGTGCTGTGTGCATGTATGTGTGACCATTACAGAGGGTTACATTCTCCAATTCTATTCTATACAAGCAGCAGCAAAACAGATCATTGGTATTCATTCAAGTATTTATATATCACATCATCGCTTCAATTCAGCTTTTCCATTGGAGTTGACAACATTCCCTACTGTTTTAACAAAAGGTTTACAAAAAGGTCACAATTTACATCCTGCCCTTTAGAATGGAATCTACATTTATAGACTATGCGACAAAAACAACATTTGGTGGACAGTTGAGTGAAAAGAGGAGCATTTTGTTCAGAAGCATGTTGGTGAGCTGTTCAAATGATCCACAGAGGCAGTCATCTCTAAAGGTCATGGGGTCTCTCTGAATAGAGTCACGGCTCACCTCCACACTCTGTTTGGCCGGGTGGTTCTCCTGACACAGACGGTTGGCGGTTTCCTGGAGCGACCGCATCACGTCTTGTTTTTCGTCCAGCTCTAACCTCATTTCCTGTAAACAGAGCAGGAAGAGACGGATGGTACAGTAGACCACAGGATCTGTATGGCTCCGGCATGATGTAAAGATACATGTAAACAGTACTGATACATGAATATATCTGTGGAATCGGCTTCCAGTTTGTGTTCGGGAGACATCCTCTCCATTTATGAGGCTTAAAAACGTTCCTCTCTGATAAAGCTGATATTTAGGTCTGGCTCAGGCTTACAACAAACCAGACCCTAGTTTTGCTGCGATAGGCTTAGACTGTCGAGGGACTTTCATCTCTTCTTCTCCTACTTCTCTTTTTATTAGGCATGAACTGATGGCGTCAGAGCAACAAAGAAAACACCTACCCGAAAGTCAGAGACAAACACAAAAAAAGTCATTCGAAAACAATTGAATTGAATCAATGGAAATGTAATGCTATCATCAAAACATGACGAGTAATCATGGGTAATGACAAACAAAGAGGATCAGACGCAACCACTGTCTGCTGGGAGGATTTTTAGGATTTTGTGCACATTCAAAGATGACTATATTACAACAAATCAACAAACATCGGATGACAAATCTGACATCCCTACTTTCATGTATGCAATCATGTCTCATACATGTGACTAACTCCGCATCAGGGGCCTCGTCCCCGGAGTTTGAGCGTCTCTCCCCTGGCAGGTTGCCAGTAGTAAAGGTTAATACGCCCACGTTATTTCTATTTGGAAGCACCTTGAAGATTGTTGACATCCTGCAGGATCCTTTTAAAAAAATATATATATACGTTCACAATATCATTTGTATCCTTTAGGTTGTCCAAGTTGTTGTTGAATTATCTATTTGACTCTATACACACGACATCTATTGAAACGTCTGTCAGTCCTAGGAAAGGGATCCAGCCTCTTTGCCTCAAGATCTCTCTCTTTTTTGTTTTTTTGGGGGATTTCTTGTCTTGCCTGCTGCGATGGTCAAAATGTGTCAATTGTGATATTAGGTTATATAAATACAATGATATGTAGGAATCATGGAGATACTTATGTTATGTAGTAACTGGGAAGGTAGTTTTATGGGTGTTTTTTATTCAAATAAAACACATCTAGTAGTTCATTTCGTGTATTCTGATTTGACAGAAAGCCCCCCCCCCACTCACGCTGTATAATTCCCTCTTGGCGTTCATGTTGCTGTTGTTGTCGCTCCAGTCGAAGGCGATCTCCTCCTCCTCCCTCTCGTTGAGCCAGATCAGCTCCTCAGTGCAGTGCGACACAAACGCATGCAGGCTCTCCAAGCTCCGCAGGCGCCATGACGAATGTTCCTATGGCAACCACACAAACAAGCATCATCATCATCATCATCATCATCATGCTGATCAGCAGTGCAGCAGAGAGACATTTAAAAATAAAAACGTCCTCTATTGCCTAGTGGGTGGGTTTGTACTGCTGGTTCACTAGATTTAGAATAAAGCACTGTGAAGACAATCTTTAAAAACAATTATATATTTTTTTAAAAGGTATAAAATGAGAATGAATAGGATCGTTAATTATGAGCTTTAATAACAAGCTTTAACCTTTTAGGGAGGCATTGTTCCCTAACATGTAATTTAAAAATATATATATTGGTACATGATATTGCTTGCAGTTGTAGAAATCACTGATACTCTACTTATATGAGGTCATAGTATCATAATCTGATCATTTACATGCATCTTTAAGCACAGAAACACAAAACTGAGTATAATGTCTCACATTAGAGACTGGAAATGAAACATTTAAGAAAAATGCATTTAAATCTATAAGTAAACTTCATAAGCAAGTGTGCTTTATTGTTCAACATTACACATGTAACGCCAAAAATATAGAAGGAACAAAGAAACCAAAACTGAGAAAGGGGGCATTTGGGGTAAGGGGCATAAAGAGAGCAGATGCATAACTGTTCTGCATATGAGTCCTGTCATGGTGTAATGGGATTAACAGGAGAAGGGGGAGAACTGGGAAACAAAGAAGTGTGTTACCACACAAAAAAGACTCAGATTCACAGCTCTTTGTCTGGGACTGACCAGTAGTTTGCAGTATTGGTGCTCTAGCTTGGCCAGGGTTTCAGAGTAACTGCTCTTGAAGTTTGGAGACACTTTAGCCTGCAGGAGAGAACGGTAAAGAACATCAGGAACCAAATGCCAGACAAAAGATCTCTGTGTCCATGCATAAGTGATGTGTATATATATGTGTGTGTGTGTGTGTGTACCTCATAGCTGCGTGCCTCCTGTAGGCTGCTCATTAGTTCTTCTACAGCAGTGTGTATGGTGTTGTGCTCTTGGAGGTTGTTTTCTACAGAGGGGAGGTCTGCGCCCCACTCAGCTCGCTCCAAAAGCTCCTGGAACACACAGGGACAAAGATCAAATACATATTTACATTTTTATTTAAAGGTCCCATGTCATGCTTTTCTGGTTATTACCCGTCCCCTTGTGTGTTATGAAGGTTTTTCTGCATGTAAAAGGTCTGCAGAGTCACAAACCCTCAAAGTACACCCTGTAGGGAGTAAAACTCTAACACAGAAAAGACCTGTCTATGCTGCCCCAGAACGCCTCGTTGGAGATTTCTCTTTTTCCATTGTTTTCTTCCTGGGTACAGTGACGTGCCCATACCCAAATGGACCAATCCGTGGAGCCGTTACGTTACGTCCGCGGAGCCGTTACGTTAAGTCCGTGGATTGGTCCAAATTGACCAATCCGCGGACTTCCTCACACACACACACTCAATCTTTTCTCAGCTGCAGCTCCGCCGATTTCTCCTCCCTGAGACGGCGGGACGCGGCGAGGCTGTGAGTCGGTGTGTGAGCACACACACAAACTCCCAGCCAGGCTGCGGGTGTGTGTTCGGGCTGGGTTTCGCTGTGTCTCGCTGTCTCGGCCACTGGGCTCATAGGGAGGGGGGGGGCAGGAGCTCCAACATTTATGTATTTTATCAACATTTTTCCCAATGTTTTGTTCCTCTTAAAAAGACGTTTTAAGTTACATTTATTTTTCAGACTTGCAATTATAAATAAATGTAGATTTGATTTATTAGGGTTAAAAATCATGATATTTATTCTCTTGGTTTAAAAAAAAAAAATGAAATTGTTAATGAAGTTAACACATTTAACCCCTAAAATGGGATTTGTTGTTTTACGGCTTTTTAAACAGTGCCTAAAATGTATTTCATTATATACAAATATTTTTAAAATAATTGTCTTAGCGTCTTTCAGTTCCTGACATGAGAGGATTTGCTGCATTTCTCTATTTTATATTATAAAATGAAAAAGTATTGTTGAAAAATCATACTGAGCATTTGTTTCACTATTTCTTAACAAACATATAGACTAAATTGAATAATCAAGAATAAAATCAGGTTAACATTGAGAAAACCACTCCTCGTGTCCCTAAACTGTTCTTGTATTGACGGACCTGCGTCTCCTCCACCCATCCCAGCAGCTCGTAGATGAACCTCAGGCTTCCTTCGTCCTCCGATGAAGACATGGCCACCAGCTGGGAGCGAGCAATGGGTCGCCGCAGGAGCGCGGCACCGACAGCCCCCACGGCCCCCAGCAGCGTCTGCCCCAGCGTCAGGCCCCCGTCTGAGGCCCTCTGCTGCTCGGCCCCCGTGGGGCCCAGGCTCTGGGTGAAGTTGCCCTTCCTGTAGAGGCTGGAGCACTGCAGTCTGAGGGAGACCAGCTCCTCCTGAAGGCAGGACGCTCTGAGGATGAGAGAATACAAAATATAGTTAGAGGAGGGGACACGGCTACATACTTTTTATGTACATTTCTCCACTGTGGGGCAAATAAAGCACTTCTGATTCTGATATCCAATATTCCTTTCTCTGAGATGATTATTTATTCATAAAGTCATTTAAAGCAGCAACTTCACTTAAAGTCTCCTATGAAAAGCCAGAAATGTGTTTAAATAAACAACCAGAATGTTGGTTTCCTGTAATGTTTTTTGGCTAAATGTTCTAGGAAATAGGGTCAAATAATAACATTTCAACTTTACTTGGAATTATATTGAATGAAAGGAAACTACACAGGAAAAAAAAGACTGCAGTCTAAAACTCACGAAGCCACAGAATGAGGTTTCTATTTCATCTTTCTCTTTCATATGTCATTTATATCAGAGCACATTCAAACAGTTAACAGCAGATGCTTATAGTTAAAATACCTCCATATCAATGTTGCAACAATATTGTAGTGTTATCTATTGCTGCTTTGAAAAAATATTAACACAATGAGATTTTTATAAATAATCATCATTCAAGTGGGTAAAGGTCATTAAAAACACAGTTATAGCCTCAAAACATATTCATATCCAAATTCACAGCTTTACTCTAGTCCCATATCCCAATATCAATATTACATAGATATATCTCCCAGCCCTAGATGGAACACACTAACTATGGCAGACGATAATAGGACTTAATGGCAAAACACAATTTGCATATCCTATTTCAAACTAATTGGCCAAAGGCCCACTTTGATTGTTGCACCCTTCAGTAATTCATTGTTTGAGTAGACGAACCACTGCACCCACCTGAACACCAGCTGCTCCACCTGGTAGTACTTCTCCTCCCTCAGGACTTTGAGCTCCTGGTTGAGTTGTCTGATGAGAGACTCGCAGTCCTGCAGGTAGCAGGCCAGCTCCCTCTCACACTGCACCCCCTCCCCACTCTCCACCCGCGACATGTCCTGCACACAGAGCACATGGTATGATTAGATAAGATGTACTTTATTTATCCCAATTTGAGTACTTTGTTTCTTCACAGCAACGAGTTAAAACAAGGCATTGCACATAATGGGAAAACATCTAAAGTAGAAAATAAACACAAAATATAAACATCCCTAAATAGAAAATAAAGTGATGTTGACAGTGAAAGATAAAATCAGTAGACTATCTGAAGTGGGATATTATTTACATTAATTGTTAAAGTGTGACGACATGTTGGTTCTTTTTTTTTTTTTTTTACATTTCAAGGTAACTTAAGCTTCTGCTGTGATGTTCTGCAGTTTATTGTTCCCGGCTTCTCCGGAGGGAGAAGTCCTCAGATATGTTTTGTTCGTATTAAGTATTAATACAAAAGCGTAGAAAAGTAGGGCTGTCGATTCAAATATTTAATCGCGATTAATCGCATGATGTCCATAGTTAATCGCGATTAATCGCACATTTTTTATCTGCTCTAAATTTTTAATACTCTTATCAACATAGGAGTGGACAAATATGCTTTATGCAAATGTTTGTTTATTATCATTGGAACAATGACACATATTCTCCTGAATATTCTCAACACAACAACCTGGAACCTCTCTCTCTCTCTCTCTTACACTCTCTCCCAACCCTGTGTACTTCTCTGCACTGAGCCAGTTGCTCAAACAGACAAGCCTGTTTACAGTTGTCGGCGAAATGCCGCTCCTCTGTCTTCATCTTCAGTCAAAGCATGAGACTGAAGTTCCCACCTAGGGTCAAAATAATGCGCTGTGATGTGCAGTCGACACGTTGGATGCGATCCGAATGATCCCCTCGTCCTCCACAATGTTAAGCTGTAGCCACCCATTTAGTTATCGCTGTTGTTGTCCAGGCGTCTCCCCGGCAAACTTTCAAGCGTGGTCTGCCGCAAGCGAGCGGCAGGAGCGGGGCTGTCAGCATCAGCTGTGTGCTTGGCTTGCGTTTTAAAACACCTTTTTTTGTATCTATATCTCTCGCTAGAATCTCCCACCATCCAACTACAACAACGTCAAGCCTTTGGGCTCTGAAACTACGGGGCGGGCCGAGGACAAATACACATGTGTTAATCGCACGTTAAAACAATTAGTGGCGTTAAAAATTGTTTGCGTTATTAACGCGTTAACTTGACAGCCCTAGTAGAAATACTTCGTTATAAGTAAAATTCCTGCATCCAAAATGTTACTTAGTAAGTTAAGTAATAGCATTATAGTGTACTTAAAGTACCAAAAGCAACATTACATTTTTATTTTCGAATAATATCTATTATATTACATTATAATCATTGATGTATTAATTTGTTAATCATGTTGCAGCAGGTAAGGTTGGAGCTAATTTGAAATAAATGTGTATCTATTTGATATTTTTCTTTACATACATATGTGAAGATTGTGAATTTCACATCATTATTGGACCAAAAGAATAAACATGATTTAGACAAAGAGTAAACACCTGGACCATTTCTAAGGGTAATCTCTCTCTCTAGGCAGCAACACACAGACAGGGGGGGGGGGGGAGAGAGAGACACTGTGTTTGCAGAAACCAGGGAAAGTGTTGAATAAATATTTATTGTTCCCAGAAGTGCACTTGCGTTTACAGCATGTACACATTAACACATCGTAAATGACCCTTCCAAATGACTTAACATTCACCTAATAAAAACCTGGCATGTGTGTACAGTATGTGAAAGGAAATTGAATTGAATATGATAAGAGACACGAGAGCTTGATTTAGTACTCACAGCCTGCAGTGTGTTTCTCGCGAGGGTGAGTTTCTCCTCACAGTCCAGAGCCATGTTCTGGATCTTATTGGCCCTCTGAAGCAGGTGCTCTAGCCTGAGAACACACACACACACACGTAGAGGTTAAGAGGCATGTCCCTGAGAAGCACAATTGATGAGAAATTGAATGGCAGGAGTTGCATCAGCGATAATTCCATGCACCCTGCTGAAGTACACATGTGAATGGATTTTTGTACTTGTGCATGTGTGTGTCAGTGTGTGTGTGTGTGTGTGTGTGCGTGCGTGCGTGCGTGCGTGCCTGTGTCTGTGTGTGTGTGTGTGTGTGTGTACCTCTCCACAGCCGGCCGTAGAGCCTTCTCTCTCTCCAGCATCTCCAGGATGAGTTTGCCCCACTCCTCCTCCAGGTCGTTGGGATGGAGGCCCTGAGGGAGCTTGATACGACCAAACTCTATCCACATCTGGACACACACAGTGAGAGTTTACTTAACGTCCCATCATGTCTCAGAGGAAGTGGACACACACGGTTAAAACACGAGGACAGTGACAGACTGATTACTCGATGATGTAAAAGAAGAGGTGGATGAAGTACTACAATCCATTATTTAAGTTAAAGTACTTATACCACACTGTAAAAATACTCTGTTATAAGTTAAATTCCTGTTTTTAAAATGGTACTTAATTAAAGTAAGGTAGAATAATCAGGAACATGTACTTAAAGTATTACATGGAAAAGTACCAAATTCAGAAAAATATAAAATAAAATATAAAAATATTCAACAAAACAACAACAAATGATTCAAAACAATTTAGAAAACTAAGTAATGTTTATAGATGCCAAATAATGATCTCTTAATTGACTAAGCTATTCTTGAACTTGAAGTAACTGAAAAATGTAAATGAAACGTACTAAGTAAACCGTGTAAAGGCCACTGTATAAAGGGGCACACCAAGAGAATACAGTAAGTAAAGTAAGATAGCTAAATTGACTAAATCTAACTATCTATATTCCACCCATGCTCAGAGGAAGGGCTGGTTTGTGTACATTTCAGTGGAAATTCATTTGGGTGGAAGAGTTTAATATGTTTTTGTTATTACACTAAAGCCATTTTTTGCTGGAGGGGTTTCCAAATATTGTCAAAGGTAGACAATCACCCAAAGGACCCAAAGCATACTTAACAAGGATCTGACATTTTAGGATACGATGACTTTCAGGCAAGGCACATACATGAATATATGTTTTTATTATCTGCAGTACAAAAGCACTTAAACGGCATTGCTTACTTTATTTACAGAACAAAATCAATCTAATATGTTTTCTCTTTGTCTTCAAAATACAGTATGTTAAATCAAATCTGGAGAAACCGGGTAACATTTGTTAGGCCCTTATGGACAGGTTTTGTGGAGGAGAATGACCCCCTTTTTTGATTGATTATCAATGAAGTTAGTTGTATTTTCTCAAGCTTTGTCCCTCCTGAAATGTTATTCTATAACAAAAATGTGGACTGCAGAGGAGAGGTATGGAATATAATGTTTTTGTAATGGAAACTGTTGCTAAAGTCAAATAAAGGCCTCCATTACCTCAGAGTTACAGTACGTTCAGGAGCGATCATAAGTCACACCGCAGACAAACACTCTGATACAATCAGCTGAGTGAGAATAAAGGAGGACCTATAATCCACCGTCATGTGTTTGTGTTAGAACACTCTGCAGCATTGATAACAGAAAAAGTGTGGAAACGACTTCCCTTCAGGAGACACCAGCCGCAGAAACCTGCTGATAATAACACTCTCTCTCTGAATCCCATGATGCACAGTGGGCTCTGCCAAACATTGATCACCATTCCCTCCATCTTTCCTCCGTGTAAATCCTTACCTCCAGCAGTTTGTAGAGGTGCTCGATGTGACCTTTCTCCACCTCCTTAGCGGGGATCTCCGTCTCTTTGAAATGGACGTACTCGTTGTAAAGTGCCTGGAGGAGGAGGAAGTGACCATGAGGTCAATATTAGTGGCTTTGTTTTATGTCAATACCTGTTATTAGTGAACGTAAAAGCTTTGTAATTACAGCCCCTCTCTGGGTGGTCATTAGACCGTTTTCTCAATGGTTACTTCAAGCTACAAATGTGACTGCTTTAGATTCCCACCATCCCTTTCTCACGCTCTTTAGACAGTCAATCATGTTTTAGCTTCCTTTTCAACACTAACTCTCTTCCGTACCTTACATCTCTGTCTGTTGTCGTCCTTTTATTAAACCCAACCCCCCCCTCTTTTCTTTGTCTTTATTTGTTCTCTCAAGGTTTTACACAAAATGCTTGGCAGCTTCCTTTCGTCCTGACTGAACGTGCAGTGAAATAAATAAACATGGATTGTATTCCCACCTCACCAGATGCATGTTGGTTTGAGGTCAACTGGATGACCCCAAGTAAAAAAAAAACCACATCTGTATCTCACTATAATTTGCAAAGCTTAATAGTAAACTCTTCCTGTTTGAAGAGGACATATTGCTCATGTTCAGGTTCATACTCATTGTGGGTTCCCACCTTGAGTTCCACAGGGTTTTGTGGGAAGTTTTTGTTGGCCATGATGGCCGTATGCTGGCGGCTCCACTGGAGCAGAGAGAAGAACCTGGACTGATACTCCGACCAGCGCTGATCCACCTCCTGAAGGTGGAGGTGGAGGGAGCGGGAGAGGGAGAGGGAGAGGGAGAGGGAGAGGGAGAGGGAGAGGGAGAGATGAGCAGTGATCTTTTAGCAGAGAATCTGACATTACACCTCAACAAACCAAACCTTTTTAGTCTTATTACAGGTTTCATTTTGACAAAAGGCAATTGATAATAAATGACTAAAGCACCATTCGATTAATTGCATCATTATGTGACAGTTCCAGCTCATTACTCAAAAAGCTGCACACTGGACTTGCAAACAAAATGGGAATTACACATTTAGGCAGAAAATGAAGCAAAATATGTACATTTCTAAAAGTATTTCTGAAATGAAAGCAAAATGCTGAATCCAGCAAGAGTGTATAAAGATATAAAGTCGAATACATTTTAGAATTACCATGAAAACAAAGTATAGAGTTTGGAGAATGAACAGCAATATGTACTATCTTTATGGAGAATGCAGTTCAAGCCACATAACAACAATCATTAATAAGGACTTGAAACGTCACAGTAATGGTTGTGTGTATGGGTGGAGCAGAAGGTGACGTACATGTGCGGTGATGCCCTCTCCTCCCTCAGGGATTTTGGGGAAGGCATCATAGATGGAGGAGACGTAGGTGATGACCGACTTCTCATCTGGAGATGGAACATCAACGTCTGAGGGAAAGAGAAAGATGCAACATTTGAGTAAGACTGAAAAACACACTTTTCTTCAAATGTCTTGTTTTGTCAGTTTATTATCCAATGATATTGATTTGAACATAATATAAATCGGGAAATATCCGCAATTGAGAGGCATTCTTTTCTGAACTGTTTTCATGACAAGTAACTTAACTAGCTTGGATCTGTCAAGCAATTGTTGCAGTTCTAAATAAAAGCGCACCAGAGAAAGTTACTAAACTGTAAGTACTCTTAACTGGTGAACCTAAGAAAATCCCCCTTCGCCCCCCCCCTGGCTGGCAGACAGTCAGTCGCTCAGTTTATTCTGTAGCTGTCTCACCCTCAGCGTCCAGCAGACTGGTCACCCCGAGCGACTCTGCGATCTCGAAGGCCTGCTCCAGGTTCTCCCGGTTACTCTGCCGCGACACCACCTCCATGTCGATCAGGTCTGGCCTGGAGAACAAACACAGAGGGGGGGTGTTAGTGTACCTTAACTGTGTATCTGTCTGTCTGCCTCTAATCTATTGTATCTGTTCAGCAGCCTGTAACACATATAAAGTATTTATGGCTGCCTGTGTGAATGCTTCCAGTGCCTGCAGAAAGTATTGAACGCCTTAGAATTTGTATTCATTTGGGGGGATTTAAAGCCTGAATACACTTGAGCCATGCTGGCTGTTCATCCTCTCGCCTGTATCTGTGCAGCAGAGCGTTGAACATGCGTCCGTCGCTCCAGGAGGAGGTGAAGTTGGTGCAGCGGAGGCCGGGGTAGCCTTCTGTCGCCTGCTTGCTCCATAGTAACAGCTTCTCTTTGGCTGTGAGGTCGGACGACTCGCCGCTCACATAGATCTCTGAAATCTGGAGGAACAAGAGACAGAGCAGGGGTTAATTCTCGGATTCATTGTATTCTTAAAAGTACAAATATCATCGGAAATACAAAATGCATAAGAAATGAAATAGGTCATTCTCTGTTGAGTTGTGTTACCAGATGCACTGAAACAAAATGAGGCAAAAACTGCACCCAAAGATTTAGAAAAAATAATGATATTCTCACATATAAAGATGATTGCACACCTCTCTTTGGATCAGCAAAAGTATGCTTTTTATTTACACAAAAACGGTAGTCATAGCAATATACAACATGACAAGAACTGCAATGGCTATATGAGGCACAGACTGACTGAAAATATTTTTAGATACAAAAAAAAATCCTCCTTTGGAGCCCTAGGCATGCTTATCTGGATCATTCATGTACTTTCATATTATCGTAGCATTTTTTCGCCAATCTCCTTAATTCACAGTCTACCCAGCTCATTAGCTTGTGTACCCCCCCCCCCCCCCCCCCCCCCCCAACCTCGATCTGTCTCTTCAGGTTTTCCTGTTCTTTCATCAGTTCTGCGTCAGACTCCGATCAATCTGCTCAGCCCTCTCATCCTCCGCCTCTTCACATCCCCCCCCCCTCCCTTTTGTTTTTCACTGGTGTTGTACAGAATACCAGAGGCTGGGTTAGATATGTAGGGGCCATATGTAAAATGTGTTATTGGGATGCCTTCTAGCCCTGATGCACTGTTGTAGTCTATGATGGTTAAAAAGAACATATACCGTGCCTTTTGGAGGATGCTGTTATTCACAGATCCTGAGAGCAACTCAAGACATAAAGTGCATGTGTACTGAAGGTCTGAAGAGTAACCAAGCCTCCATGGAAACTGACTGACGGCTACTTTATCTACGTGCTCTGCCCACTGAGCTATAGCCATTTTCCCTATGCATCATTCTTCCTCACAATTAGCTCTCCTTAGGTCCAAATGTCCACGGTGACAAAGGCAGAGTGATGTATATGCACTAACTCTCAGCCATTATTGTCCTCAGTATTCCCTCTCTCTGTCTCCCTGTGTCTCTGTCTCCCTGTCTCTCTCCATGCTGCTAATATAGAGCAGTATGAAAGTCCAGTGTGTGCCAGGAGACTGCAGCAACAACCAAAAAGACATGGAGGAGGGGGAGGGGGGAGAGGAGATGAAAAATAGAGGGGGTGACTTGCAACTGTAGGGAGCTAATCATTTAGCAAAATAAGAATACATGAAACTCCCCATATATGAATTAACAAGGACACAGAAGGTTAACATGTAACATAAAGGTCTAGCAACATGTTGTCACGGTACTAGCATGCTAACAGACAGCCCAGACATTATGCTGTACATACATCCGTCCACTCAATGTGCCAGTAACAGGTTAGCATTTCCATCATTGTCAAACTGAGCACATGACAAGCAAATAAAGATAGGAGAATTAGGTTTGTGACTTGAATGGTAATAGACATAATGTATATTCTGCTCTGTGTTTTCCTGCAGAGTTCCATCTCTCTGTATGCATCTACAACCTCCTTTGCAGGGACTTAGAGAACATCTAATCCACCATCTGAATATTGATACAGCACTCTGTGTTGCATGTGCACTCCCACTGCAAGAGTATCTCATCCACTTCTTACTGTCGTGCATTTCTGCTATATACTGTATCCAAAGGACTTGTTAAGGCGGTTTGAAGGTTACAAACTTTGGTCAACTCCATTTGATAAAAACATCACATGTTCAATCACAACCCAATCACAATCAATCTCTGTGTGCTTCAGCAAGAGTTTCTAAATGTACAGGTTTGTCATTACCACAGAAAAGACACTGTTAGCTCAAACTACTATGCATTTCATAGCATGTCTATTAGCTGCTTCAGCAACAGATAACTGGGTATTCAGATAGCAAACAGAAAAAACAACAACTGTAGAATGTACTGAACAAACTACTCTGAATCTCTTACAACTTGTCGTAATAAGCAACTGTATGGTACTATACCGTGTGATCAAATAAACGCAACCTAATTAATTGACTGTGTTAATTCATAAATGAATGAAACACGTGTTTTGCAAACATCAAACTCTGTGAAGGCAAACAAAGCAATACTGTATGTGTGAACATGATTCATACTCATTTCCTCCACTTATAGGTAACAATAAATATAGGGTACACACACAGAAGAGCAGGGAACGTGTCACATGACATGCTGCAGTTAGAGTGACCCTCAGTCAGGCTTCAAGGACTGTGTGTCCAAATACTTAAAATATACATACAGTAACACGTTGTGTGCATGTTTGAGGTCCTGGTGTTAAGACCCAACCCTTATCTTTGCTGCTGGGTGTTTATGTACTGTATACTATAAATGTGAAGTGTTAACGGTGTACAAGTTGCTGTACACAGAAACACATTAAAGTGGCAGCAGGGTGGAGTGAAGCCATGATATAGTCAACAGGTCTGGTAACTGGCAAAAAAAGGTTTATAAGAGGTCAAATATACATTTTCATTATTTAGAAACACCAAATGTGGGTGGGAAGCACGTATAAGCAAACATTTAAGAGCATAATCATCCACGAGGATATTTTTTGTGAGAGTCTAACGACACTGATGGCGCAGAATGTGCATTAAGTGTCGGCAATGAATTCAGCCCGAGAAAGAGCTTGATTTGTGATTTAAGAATCCATATAAAACCAGGATAAAAATGTAAGCAGTTTAAAGTAACCTGTGCGTTTAATCACTGGTCGACTTGCTAGATTGAATCGGAAAAAGTACGGTCTGGATTAGACTCTCATATAAGTGGTGATGATGGGTCTGATCCTTTTCTAAGCTTTGCAAGTGCAGGTTTGAAAAACTGTTCCTGGGGACGACTCAACATCCAATATCCACCAGCAGCCCCCCCCCTGTGGCTCAGGACCAGCTCTATTTTAGAAGCATATGGTCTCTTTGAAGTTTGGGAGCAGAGGTGGAGATAACAACAGGGAGGGGGGATGGAGGGTGGACAGGAAGAGAAACTAAAAGAAGAAACATGATGGTTTTTTTGGTAAACACAGAAATTGAAGCTGTAAAACCCTGGCTTTCGATCATTAAGCAAAAGGGATAGATTTGGGGATGAAAGATAGTTCAACAGATGATGGACAGATAGCTGTATAGCTTCAGACAAAGCAGGGCGGGTATATGGATACATTTTAGTGGTAGGAATCCCCTCGGGGCTCGACGGAAAAGCCGCCTCGCTGATGAATGCGCATTTCAAATCCCTTTTATGCAGAGAGGGGCATCACAGGCACCCACAGAGGCATCCTGCCACATCCACACAACTCCTGTCATGACACAGGAACACACAACAGAGGAGTATCGATTATTGCTGCTGAGTGAAAAACCCTTTTAAGCAAGGACCTGAGAGGATCTACTGTATCAGTGTTTGTGTGTTTCCTATGACTCAGCAACTGTGCAGCAAACGAGACATGTAGCACTAAGCACAACCTGACATGACGTCAGCTGCCTTACTGCACAGCCACACTGTTCCGCCTCTATGATGAGGAGAAGTGAGCAAAGTGTGGCAGCCGTCATGAAAATCGCCCGTCATCTGCTGTATCACTGCAGTGGCTGCAGCAGTGTTTTCATTCTCAAGGTGAGAGAGAGCTAAAAAGCTGCTAGCTAGCACGCAAACTCTCCTTCTCTCCTAGTCTTCCTGCAAGAGCCTCGAATATAAAGACATACTGTACTAAGAAGCACTGGGCTACACTTATAAGCTGAGGTCCATTCATATTTCAATGCATATCAACAGGACACAAGTAACTTGGTACAGAGCCCCGATGCACTGTACTATAGCAGTTTGTTGACAATACTAAAAGGTAGATTTCTCTTTGAGGTGTAATAAAGTCATGTCCATGAATGTAGTCACTTTAAGTACTTCAGTTACTTCCTTCACTACTGTTATGATACCTACCTAAATGTGTCTGTGCTACTGTTGGTATCAAATACCAAAAGCTGGCAATGAACATCTTAAAAGATGAATAACATTGTTTCCTCCAAAAAAGGATGTTATGTTTTAGGTTTGGTTTGTTTGTTTGTAAAAAGGGTTTTATGCCAAATTGTGGTCGGGATTTATACAATTTGGTAGCATAGACTAAGTAAGACATTCCATTTTGGAGCGGATTCGAATGGTTGGGCGGATAAACCCATTCTTTTTCACCTAGTGAAGCAGCCTTGGCAGAGGTCTGCACTCTCCAAAAGCCCTTCCATTTTACTGATTAAAATGGAAAAAAGTTTGGGTTGTTCGGTTTATGACAAAAAAGGTTTATGTAGAAAAAAAACATATTTCTTTCTTTCTCAAACTACGGTATTGAAACCAGTACCAAACTCCAAACCAGTCTTACTGTTACAAACAGTGTTAAATATGCTGAAGCTAGTCAAAGAGCAGTCAAAGGAAATGAAGAAAAGACTAGAAAGTAAATTACTACTAGAATACAATAGTCATGATACAGTAACCCTAACCTATTTCAACCAAAATCACTAGAGCTACACACACACAGTTATATTGTGTGTTGAACTGGTTAGAAAAATGACAGTGTCAGTTTGAAGCAAAAGTGACTCTGTCATTAGAAGCAATGACCCTTCTCTCACACACATAACACCCGGCCTTTCTGTCTCTCACACTCACAGACGTCAGTAGTGGGCGAAGATTTTGTGGTGTGACCAAAATAACAAGCAATGGAAGGAGGTGAAGGGAGGGGAGGGGAGGGAGGGAAGGATACTGGGGAAGAAGGATGGGATATCGTCTGTGCTACGTTGATTAGACTCTGGGGACAGGGACGGAAAGAATGGAGAGACGCACAGTGCCTTTCAAGAGCTGATAACAACACACACACCAACACATGAATATATAACCCTTCATGACCATGAACACGGTGCATGAATGACGACAATGCATCCTTCACAAAGCCACACTCGTACATATCAAGAGCTGTTAATTCCTCTCTGCAGCCCTATAAGGCACTTGTTCACAAAATGGGCTCC